GAGGGCACCGTAAGCCTTCCTCCAAGTCTGAAGCGTACCCATATCTAAATTCTGACCGCTGATCACTCTCACTCTATCTCCACCGCCCCTGAGTCAGGGTACAAGTGGTAATCAGCTCTTGAATTTCTATGTGTGTGAGATGGATATTGCAGCAATTCAGCGGAGGAGAGAGAATAGAAGAATCTGATCAAAGGGAAACAATGGAATTAGAATGGCATGACATCGTTTCAATTTTTGTTTGCGTAATTTTCTTCGCACCGGGGGAAGGAATGCCCACCTTGGGTTTTTGGCGGCCCCTACTTCGCTGTGCGTCATCATCAATCCTTCACCTTTTAATTAACAAATTTCTCTGTTTTCTTTATGTTGATCCAGTCATCATTGCTATTTCATTAAGGCTTAATCATTATTTTAATCCAGTAATTAAGTACTAAGAAATTTTTATTAACTGATTAAATTTTAACCTATGGGTATCATATTTACTTTAAAATTGATCAAAAAATAAATAAAACATAATTAAATATAATAATATTAAAAAAATGATAAAAAAACTCAAAATTACTTACAACATAATTAGATATGAAAAAGAAGCTGAAAAAATGACAAAACATCAAATAAGGAATTTAAAAAAAAAGATTGTTACTTATAAATTCAGTGTTATCAACACCAAATAAAGTATTATTACTCAACCTGATTTGGAATTTAGTAATTTTCAAGTTTTTTTATTATTTTTCTTAATATTAATTCGGCTATTCATTTTTTTCTCTTTCGAACCTATGTACTTGTCCAGATTTAGATTTTTATTTTTTTCTAGGTATAAATTTTGTTTCAAATTGTATGATGTAATTTTTTTTTGGGTGAATAATGATGTAATTATTGTTTGTTTTTAATAGCACGGAGGACATTAAATAGAGGTGAGTCTGTGTATTACTTTTTCCTTATAAATACCAGTAAATACGGTGGGACGAGGAAGGATGTGCCATTTATTGTCATCATGTGACTAATGATGATGCCTCGCATTAACCTTTCTGGGCATGTAGCATATTATAATCCTTAATTCCAATGAAAGTCACTAAAATAGTTCATTAATAAAGAAGAGGTTGGCCTGACTCAGCATTTAAAACACAATTAACTGTTTAAGCAAGTTTATAATTGTACGCAAGTGATTATCATTTACTACTCCCTCCGTTTCTTATTATAAGAGACATTTGATGCTTATGGCATGTTCCTATATATAAGAGACACTTAAAAGTTGTCTCTACTTTTTTGTATTGATTTCCTATTTTACCCATATTTATTGTCTCCAACTCACACTTTCTCTCCTTCCCACTTCTCTTTCCTTTAATAATTTACCATTATTCTCTCTCATGCTCTCTCTCTTTATTAATGAGGGTATTTTTGGAAAAAAAATTATACTTTTTACACATTGATTGTTCTTAACTAATTTTAACTATTTTTTTGAACAACGTAATTCGGTTATTCGTCTCTTATAATAAGGAACGGAGGGAGTATCATCCAAGCCAGAGCTGCATATTTTCACTTCAAATATATGTAGGGGGTGTTTGCATTGGTTTCAGAAACACTTTTCCGCAAAACGAGATAACCTCCTCCACATATTTACTTCATAATCTGTAAAAACACTTTTAAAACTATGATTTGATTTCTATCCAAACACCCTCGTAATATAGTTTTAAGGGTAAACGGCCTTTTAAGGGGAGGCTCACTCATTTCACTTTTTCCTGTAGGTCAGTATTAATGCTTCTCACTTATCCCTCAAATATCCAATTTGGCTTTCTGCATGCGTTTATTTCTCTTATTGTGGCTGGGGAAAAAAAACAAGAAGAACAGAAATTATATATATATGATTTCTAATTTATATATATCTATCCATTAAATATATTTAATTAAATATTTAGTATTTTTTTAATTTCTTTCTAATAATAAATTAAATTTCTTTATTTTTAATAATTTCATTTTTAATATTTCTTTTAAAAGGGTCACATTATATGCTTATAATATTAGATATGCATTATTTAAAAAAATTCATGTCTTTTTAAGTCATTTTATATCTAAACTTACTTTTTTATTAATCATCCAAACAAGTTTTAACTTCTCAAACTGATTTTCTTACAAATTCAATCCAAACATAAATCATATTACATTATTTGACTTTTGTAAAAGTTAGATTAAAAAAAAATTAATTCTGTCACTGCTAATCCAAACACGGCCTAATAGACGCAACATAAATTTTGTTTCGCGTTGACACCCTTTATCAGGTGCCCCAGAAAAATTTGATATATGCCCCATAAATTAAACAATGTTTCTTTCTCGGCATTGCTTTCAAGGATATTGCCTTTAAGGCGGCTAACATTTACTGCTAAGTAAAATCAAATACTACTTTTTTTTAAAAAAAAAACACCATTATTTATTAAACACATCATTAGTTTTGGGGCAAGTAACATTTTTATTTACAAAAATTTGATCCCCCTTAAAATTTCATGCAACCAGATCGTTTCTGTTAGCGCTGTAGTTTAAAAAGACCGCTCCGACATTAAAACATATTCCCGCTTTTCACTGAGGGGGGAAGGCATATTAACTAAGCATATAATTAAAAGCAAATACACTGTATATTTTGTAATTACCTTGATTATGTTGATAAAAGTTAAAGTGAACCTTAATTGGCGCGAGACAAGAACAACTTCCCCCGGAAGTCTGCAATCCTCTGAAGTGAAATGTGCTCCAACTTGAGTAACATACTCAAGAACCTTTCACCCAAACATCAATACAAGACATCGTACAAAACATTACTTTCATCACCTTTTGAATACTTGCTCACCTCACAAATTTAGCCAAACTATTTGTAGGAATAAAATATCGAGTGGTTAAGGAAAGGTAAATCCATCTATTCATCTCTGTAAGCTGAACAGATTTGCATGGAACTAAAGCGTGCATCCTTGACCTTAATGTACAATTTTTCTCCATTATATTCCGACACAAACCAGTTGAAGACAAAACATTTCTTAAGAGAAGAGATCCGCAGGGTATATGTACAACAAGTGATACATGTTGAATGTTCGGATTTAGATCCTATCCAAGCATTACACCAGGAAACAGGAAACAAAAAGAGACATTAAGAGAGGTTAATCCCACTTACCAGGTGAAAAATAAGTGGGATTCACTCATCTCATATTTCTTTTTATATCCTGCTGCATAGTGACAGCACAGTGGCTCAATAGAGTCTTGAATCCTGATTGTTTACTCTAAATATGGAGTAATTGCACTTTGGTGAGAGTACTATATGATTACATGATCAAGTCATCAAGAAAAGGAGAGTTGAATGGTAACTTGATCGCCCCAGAAGCTATCAGGAGTGACATAGCCCAAATAGGTAGTATCCATTGCAACACAAAAAACAGAATCCTTTTTCCTGCAATCAAGTTCCAAATCCAGCCACAAACAATCAGACACAATGCACTTACCAAGAGCTACATACAATCTAACCTCATATTAGACTTAGGTATAATTCCAATATTAAGTTTGGATTTTGAATCTTCCCTGCAAATCCACAACTATACATTGATCTGCCCAATTGGCTTACCTACCTACATGCATACATGAAGCAAAGAAGCTAAGACAGTTATACACACTTTTTCCTTGTTGCAGACTTAAATCTTATTGACACTATAGTGCCACAAGTTAACGGAAGTCATTCCCAGCAATTCAATAAGGACAAGTTGGGATTGATATTCTCAGCAATCCCTGCCTAGTCAAATTCAAAGCCTTCTTTTCCAGTAAAATCGCAATATTTACCAAATTTACTGGTCTAAAGAAATTATAGCTGTCTGTTTACTTCATATTTCTGGCTCGGCCTAAGCATTTCAATCTCAAGCTTAGCTACCTCTTGAGTTCAACGAGCAACAGAGTTTGGTCCTACAAGTAAAAGTATGAAACCTTTTTTTTTTTTTTTTTTTTTTTTGGGAACTCCTCGCTCGCCGGGACCCAAAAACATAAAATCTCAAAGTTATCACCTAAACTAAAACAAAAATCACAGCCTAAAAAGGAATTGTTACCAGATGAACGGAAATCTTGCTCGGTATTGTTAACTAGCCACTCTCCAGTCTCCCGCAGCTTCTTCTCCACCGGTCCCTCAAATCTCTTGCCCAAGAACAAGTCAAATATGGACTTCCTCACGTCCGGATCCCTGTTCATTAAAATGAAAAACCCAGAATTGCGCGCTCGCGCGCAAATGTATATGCATTTATAACAATAATGAATTAAACCACGTGAAAATAACACGTTATATTATTCTGCAAACAAACAGTCCTGCTCTGCCTAGAAATGAAGGGAAGAAGTACGCACGCTGGCTGGCCGTCGCGGAAGCTTCCGGCACCGACAATTCGTTCGATTTGGACTACAGTGGGCCGTGGGGGAGAAGGTCTGCGTCTCTTTCTTGGTAAAGGAATGGTTTTTGCGGAGAGAAGTGGAGCTTTGGGATCATTGCTTCGTGCGGGCGGGGAAGATGAATCGCTTTCGGGAAGGTTGGCTTGAGCAACAGTTTTAGTTATGGAGGAAAAGTTAGATAAGCAAAACATGGCGGGTCGTCTTCTACTATGAAATTCCCTGTTCTTTACGATATCATACGACTAAGCGCCACATGCAACGTTGAACACAGATAAGATAAAGATCTATAAAATATCTTCAAAGATGCTTTTGTCATTTTTTTTTTTTTAAATCGGATCACCATTTTCTGACCAAATAAATTTTAGAAGTGCAGGCAAGTTCACATAAATATTAAAATTTAACAATCATGACAATTTATTGTTAAAAAATAACGTGGTAAAATTACTATTTTTTCAAAAAAAATCTGTTTTAAATATAAATTTCTCTGCACAAAGGTCTTAATTTAAAGTTTAAACAAATCACTTCTTCAGTTGATAGGCATGATTTTTTTTCTTTTAACGTCAAATCGCACAGCCTTGCAAGTCTCTTTTATAACTTTTATATATGCACAATCATTACTAACTGTATATTTAAAATTTTAAGAAAAATCCTGTAAGAGGGAATACAGGTTTTATTTTACAAAATTGGAAATAATGATCCATTACAAGAAAATCATTTGAAGACTTCTATGCTTGAAACCCATCATCAAGTGGGCAAATTTCTTAGTAAATGAAGAGCCTTTTCCCATTGTGGCCTCTGTGAGAGCACAATCCTTCTCAATACAGGGACTGCTCCAGCAGCCAAAATCAATGAATGGTTCTCAGGGTCCATGCTCAGATTATACAATATAGCCAATCCTGCTTCAACGGCCCTTTCAGTTCCTCCTCCTATCAGCATCACCAATGGGTCTATGGCCCCCTCAGACACAATAGCTCTAGCAGAATGCACTACTTCTTCAGATATTATTCTGTTCAGTTCTACAACAGCAGCTTCCTGTGCTTCCAGAGAGAACGAAGTTTTTATCTGTTCTACCAGTCTTGGGATTGTCTCATAAAGTGTAACTTCCACATTGATTGGATCAATACTTGGGTTGTCACTGGAGAGAGAGCTGAGTTTAACTAGGCAAGCAGCCACCCAGTCTTTGCTGTGGAGAGGAATACAGGACTTGAGGATTTTTCGAAGCAAGCCAATGAAATGGAAAGAATTTACGTTGTCGCGAAAATGCTGACAGTCGAGTAGTCTCGTCATTAAGCGGGATGCTGCAGATATGGCAAGGCCAGCTTCTTCGACTTCAATCGGGTATGCTTCTGAAACCTGATCTTCTACATCAGGTTCTCCACCTGCAGCTTGTGGAAGTCAAATCTCTAGATACAAATGAGTTCCCGATTGGTGATTCACAGTTAAACTAGAACCAAGCAAGGAAGGCAGATAAACAAGATTGCAGATTTTAAATGAAAATGTTAATCATGAAGGTAAAAAGCAATTTAAGATGTCAATGCAATCGCGGAGGCATAGGTAGCATTGGTCACCGGACAATTTATTAACTATATTATACATAGAGACCAAGCACTAAATAACATGTATATAATTTTCTAGAATGAATCTTCACAAAGAAGAAATTTAAGACCTGAAATTCTCAAAATTTTTTGCTCAAAGACAGCATTGAGAGCAGTTTCAATATCTACAGATGTAATGGAGACCAAAGCTGGGTCCGTCAATGCAACAAACTCGAGAACTGATGCAGCTTTTCCTTGTAAAGTGGGAGAAGAGGACTTCAGAATCTCAACAAGGCGAGCTACAAAAGCAGAATCCAGTACATCATTCCTGAAATAGTTATCAAATGCAAGTGAACTTTAAGGATCACTGTTCACCGCACTTATTATCAATTCTTTAATCAATCATATCAGTAATGACGAAAAAAATCATATTGGAATAAATTACGCTAGCCTTCTTGAGGTACATAAAACTGTGATTTTATTCTTAATACAACAATACCATAAAGTAATAATTTTATCTTCGGAAAAAAGTGCTGAAATTGAACTTCGTTAATAGAAAATAAATTGGAGGGGAGCTGGCTATAATGTTTGAAAACAAGAGAGTTATTGTTACGTGGAATCAGCAGTTAGCTAATCACCACTCTTGTTACAAAAAACTACCTTGGGAAGCTAGTGTAGTTAACTATTTGTATTAATATGACAAAAGAGTCAATCTCGGAACTTATAGATCGGAACATCAAGAAATCCAAGTCCTCTCTTAGGCTAAAGACCTTCGGAAGTATACATCACCCACAAGACAAAACTAGCCTTTCTCCCTACTGGTCCCACATCAATCATAAGTAAACACAACAATGCATATTAATCTCCCTATTTTTATTTATGTAGAACATATGAAGAGAAGGTCAATCATTACAATAGACTGTAACTGGACGGAACTTAACATAAGCAACAGTAGGAATTCCAAAAATTAAAAGGTAGCGACAAATATTGAAGGAAATAAACTATAAATCGAAAGAGGGAAGCAGGGGGAAGTTAACCTGGCAGTGGTCTTTGATGTCGGATATTCAGTGGTACCAAAGCTAGCTGAAACAGCATCATTTCTAACTTCCCTTAAGGCCTTCTCAGATCCATTCACTGGTCCATCATAAAACTGAAAAGAATAACCGTGCTTGATTGTCATTACGGAAAAAGGTTCTCCACATTTGCTGCAAGATCAGAGATACAAACCTTCAGTTTCATCTCTTTACTGGGGTCTAGTATGCGAGCAATTGTATTCAAAGACTGTAGAAAAAAACCACAGCGTCATCACAATCCTGGTAAATTTAATTTATCAAACATAAATAATTTGTTTGACAGGAAATAACAATACCTTTTCTGCAATACTTTCAGAAACCTCTGAGCATTTTAGAATATTAATTAAAGGACCTAACGCTCCCTCAGATTCAATTTTCTGGCAGACTCCATTGCTGCAAAAACAAAACTTCGAATTATTTGCATTATATAAGGAATATATGTCATCAGTCAAGCATGTAAATTAAATGTAAATTGTTGGTGTTAATGAATAAAAATGATTAAGTGACATCAACAATTATGTATATCATAAACAGTAATTTGGCGCCCATATAATTTGATCTGCATATTTACATGTGCATCAAAATTCACACCATCTAGTGCACCCGTGCTGGTGGCAATCATCATTAGAAGTAGGTCTTTGCATTCAATATTAAGAAGAAATTACAGTCTACAAGCGGAGATAAATACTTCAATTGAGGCCCTACGCCCCAAGATCCAACCAGCAAGAAACAAATAAAAACAAACTATTCACTTCTACCATTCTCTGACTAAACTAGTAAGATTTCACAAATGTGATCCTTAAACCTTGCATTCCAAGTACAACTAAATAATAAAAAATTAACATTCATAATGATTTTTATGTTTATATTTAGAATACTTTCATTTGAAGTCGATCCTTTCACTTCATTTTTCTTTCAAAAAGATTGATGGATTTCAATTACCTGGCGGACAACCTCTCCAAAGCTTGAGTTACAGCCAATCTGACAGCATCATCATCACAATTCAAAAGCCGAACTAAGTGCCTAACAGCTCCAGCCTCCTTGAATGCAATGCGCATATGTTCATTGATGGATACATCAGCTATTGACTCTGCAGCCCTTTTTATGGGAGACTTATCTTCCAGTTCTAACATAAGTACCAAGCGAGCAACACCATCCATCCAAGGTAAAAGTGTAAGTTGTTGTCTATCAGAGCTTTCGGAATCAGATGTGCTTTTTCCTTCCCATTCTATAGCCCCAATACGGGCAAGAAATTGTTGTTGTGTCCGTCCCACAATCGCATTCATTTTTGCTTCCTCTATGTTAGCTCTCTTATCATCAATATTAAGCCCAAGAAGTAATTCTGATGCGCCATACCTGGAAGGTTTTAGAGAAGCCCGTTCAATCTCTGTACCATCTGGTAATTTGGGCCATGAATGCAGACCAGGGGAGAACGACTTGTATGCCTCAGCACCAATCAGTGGCACAGGAACCAGACCTTCCTCAACAACAAGAATTTTATAATATTCATCCTTGACAAATTCCAGCAATGCATTTTTTGCTTCCTTTTTAATGACTTTGGATCCTTCAGAATCAGAAGTCAGGAACTTTGCCTGCAGGAAAAATTGATCTGGAATTCTGTAAGCATCAAGAATTAAGTCCCACAGAAAATATGAAATTCTTCTTACCATTCTTTCATTCACCCCCTCCCTCCAATATTCCTAAGGGTTTTAGTGAATTTATGCTGGCTGGATTTACATGCCTACGATCAGTATGCATGTAAAACCAGCATGTCATGCAAACATTTTATTATGGAAATAACCATCTTTTAACTACGATGTAAACTCAAAGGAAGTCTCACCAATTTTGGTATAACACCTGCTTCAACCAAAATGCTGTGGTTAACATGACTCAAAGCTAAATTTGCCAATATGCCTCCTGCAGCTTCCTTCACTTTTACATCCTCCTCTTCAAGGTACTTAATAATCAATGGCAGGATATCACTCTTTGTAAGTTTAATGCGGAGCTTCTCATCCACAGATAAATTCCACAATGTACTCATACTCTGCTCCTTTACCTATGGAAATGACGTCCACATATTCCTCAATATTCTACAGCAAGAAATATGGATAAATCCAAGCGGCAATATACCTATTCCTATACCTCAGGAGCCAAGGAAGACTGCCTCAGCAGTCTATTTATCTCTTCTATTGCTCCACTCTCTGCTACCAAATTCCTGTATAGATTGACTGAAGATAGAGATCGCAGGAGGCCTGCAGCTGCTTCACATGCTGAACTAGAATTTGATCTGAGGAGGTTCACAGTAAGATTAACGCAGCCAGGAAACCGCATTAAAGTATCAACACACTGCTTTCCGCCAAGTGAATATTTCCACAAAGCAATTATAGCCTGTTCTCTATCAAGAGGATCATGATCTAAGCCTAACATTCGAACAAATAAGGCCACATAACCATCACCGAGACCAGAAGAGGTACTCTTCACTTCTTCAGTGTCCTGAAAACAAAGAAATATATATAGCCGTATGAAATGGACTGTGCTCTAACTCAAACGACCATAGCCAGCCGAATCCCAAAAGAATATAAACGCTACATACATCATAGAGTACGAAGATATACAAATCACATAGTATCCCATGCTCTAGCTCAGTGCATGCACTAGACAGGCATTTAACAAATTTAATCGTGACCGGAATTGCCACAACTAAATGCTCAAATAGCAGCATCTAAAATATAATTGAGAGAACCAATCCCAGCGATAAACATCACAATATCCGGAATTAAAAGCCACATCACTTGTGCTTTTACTGTATGCCAGCACAAGGGTGGAGAGGAGAACCTTTGGCCCCACAAACAACTCAGAAATTTATGTTACAATACGCATGAGACAGTAAGTAACACCCAACCCCTTACTACCATAGGTGGAGAAAAGCCAATAATGCACTCGTGAATCATGGCATTTTTTCCAGCAGCAAAGCATTAAGTACGTTCGATTCGGAATTGTCTAGCTTTGTACACATGCATTATGACTCAAAAAGAATAAACTGTACAGTGTTACAGATAATACAAATAAGGCTCCCGTTTCCCTAGCATGTTACGACTACCGAAACATATGCATTCCATAAACGCCTTCAAAATGGTCACCGATTGAAACAAGAACCCATAACGGAGAAAGAGTACTTGATAACGTACAGAAGGAGGAGGGGAAGACTGTTGTGAAGCAGCATCAAACGCGCCATCATCGCCATTACTGACCCTCGTGGCCACTATAGGTCTAGTGTTCGATTTCGGGTAAAGACTGCAACTTTGATGGGCTAATTTATAATAAACTGACACTCTGCTTCGCCGGCATATTCTGCTTCCAGATGGGAAGATTTCAATGTTGTTGTTTGGGGGGAGTAACACGAAATGCAAAGGTTTCAGTTTAGACGGTGTTAGGATCGTTGAGGCAAACATGTCAGCCGATACGGAGTACAGTCTGAAAAAGATAACGAAGTAAAGCAAATATATGATCGCTAGAATTGCAGCAAAGGCTTCACAGTCGGAGGGGGCTTTCTGCCTTTCTCACTCCCAGTGTCTCTGGAACCATCAGATAGGGGTGGTAGTGGTTTTTAGCTGCTCCTTTGAGTCAGCACCTCTTTAATTGGTTCGCATGGCCATATCATATCAGCCATATAGTTAGTAAAAAATTGTTTTTTTTGCCAGTAATCATGGTTAGTAACTCCCCTGATCTTTTGTCAAGTTCCGCAAAGCATTAATATAAATTAAAGAGATATAAAAACAATATGGGAATGTCAAGATAATTCTTGGCTTGATTTTTATGAAATTTCTAAAAATTATTTAAAAATTATTGTTTTGAATGATCTAATTATCTTGAAGTTTAGGCTGGTCAAAAAATAATTATCTTGAAGTTAAGAAAAATTAATAATTTTATTGCGGACTGCGAAAGCTTCAATAGCTAACCGCCGCCGTCACTGACATTGAGATTGGAAAATTTCAGGGCAAGGGTCGTCACCTTTCGATCACAAAAAATCATAAAAAATTTTTTCTGCCATCACAAAAAATTATATAACTATTGGATCGATTGGATTACCGATACTTCTTAATACAAATACAGGGCAAATTATTACGAGATAAATACAAAGTTTTAGGATATATGTATATCCTGGCCAAAAATATACATGTATATATATAACTGTTTTCTTAAAATGCAGCTCCTAGCTTTCTAAAAATTGGTAAATTAATAATGATTTCACTTTAAGAAGCAATAACTTTAATTACTTAAGTAAGGATAACTACCATCTCAAAAATTCAACTTCTAGATTTTTCAAGTGTTCGTGGCTCTACAACCATCATTTCATATATCTAATACGAAAATCACATCCGTCAACTGTGAATAGGAAAAAGTAATAAAATGAATTTTCTTTTTTTCTTAAACATAAAATTTGTTGAATGAATTTCTTTATAAAGTTTTTAATCTGGTTATTTGTCAATGAAATATTTTCAATTTAATTTCTTAAATGCAAATACTTTAAATTGTAATCAAGCACCAAAAACATCTTAGCAAACAAACTTATAATGTTAGAAGGCCATAACTAACCAAATAAATTTATAATGTTAACAAAATTTCAGAGAACAGGATCAATAACTCCTGTTTGCAGCTGCTGGTTTTCATCCCCACATTTGTGAGTTTTGTTTCGCAAGTCATGAGATCCGAGGATAAAACCCCTCCTTTTCTGGGAAATGTGTCTGATGTGCTAGTTCTTGTTCTTCCCTTTCCTTCCTTTGCTCCGGAAATTTGGTTGTGTGTACATTGATGTGAAGTCTTCAACAGGAGGTTTCTGAATCTTACTTTTCAGCTTCAACTAATCCATACTACAGAAAACCAGAAATTCAGAAGCAAAAACGAGGATATAGTACTGGCCTAAAATAATAAAACATCAGTACGTAGCTGACCGACTGTCTGAAGAACCCATCTGATACATTTCATTCTTCCATGTCATAACTGTTTTTAAAAAAAACAGCAAAACTATAATTCTCCTGTCAGTGGGAGCGGATGAGTCTGATATCCACGTGGCATCTGCTGAAGATTTTGTCTTTTTTCTCTTTGAACTGAAAGGCCATCCTATGGTGGCCATCGACTTGAAGTATTGAACTAATAAAAAGGATAAGAAATCAGACAGAGAGAGAGAGAGAGCTCTGGAAAAATGAGCTGCTCATTCAACCTCCATTTTCCCAAAGCTCTACCTCCTCTCTTCTCCTGTTCTCGACGATGTGGGACTGCTCCTTCTTTCTTCGTTGCTTCCCAACACAAACCATCATCTCACACCACCACTCCTTCCCAAAAGGCATAGTCTGATTCTCTTTGTTCTGCCAACAGTTTTGGGTTAATTATATTTTTCGCTGAATTTCTCCTCTGACAAGATCCATGACTTCAATTACAGACCCTTACAAGCAGTTCCCTGAAGCCAAATGAGTCCATCAGTCTGCAGAAACCAAGTTTGGCTCTACAAATAGGAGCTCTCCTGGCCTTTGTGAGATATTCTTTTCCACATATGATTATCGGGGTGGCATGGCATACCAGTATAACATTAATGATCTTAGAAATCAACCAATAGGTTGCCAAAAGTTTCAGTAATTTCTTGCAGCTTTAAGTTAAGGTTGACTGTGGTCATTTGAACAGGCTGAGCAACCGGCGTTTGCTGTAACTGGGGTGAATAACGAGCCAGAACTCAGCTGGGTTCTGATACAATTGGCGATTGTTCTCTTTGGGTACTTCATAGTTATGCCTGTAAGTTCTCTCCTTCAATACAGATTGCGAAGTTTTTGCTTGCTTTTCTTATCCCGAATTCTGATCCTTGTGCCTGCGGGCGAATTGCAGCCAATTATATTGAACTGGCTTAGGATAAGATGGTACAGAAGAAACCTTCTCGAGCTGTATGTGCAATTCATGTTTGTCTTCATTTTCTTCCCAGGGTGAGAAGCTATTCCTCTGCTCCTTTTGAATAGTTATGCACTAACGTGATTACAAAAATTTTCGGGTCTATATGTAATATAAAAACTCAAATAAATAATGCTGTTTAAGAATACTGAACAGGGCGACTTTATTTGTTAGTTATATATGAACACTTCAAATTGTAAAGTTCTTGTGGGTACCGGTTCTAACATGTTTATTACTTGCTTCCTACGTAGCAATACGTTTTCCAAAATATTTTATTTGTCCAAAAACTTCCTCCTTTCTTAGAACCATAAAAAGAATTCTATTATGCCACCATTAATGGTTAAATTATTTGCCTGTTGTTTTCTGCAGGGTACTTCTGTGGGCACCATTTCTAAACTTCAGGAAATTCCCAAGAGATCCATCCTTGAAGTACCCTTGGTCTACGCCTGAAGATCCTTCAAAGATTAGAAATGCATATCCGAAGTACCCGTTCGCAAAACCTGAAGATTATCCATGAAACTGTATTCACGGCACAAAATATCTAGTTGGAGATTTTTGGATCAAATTGTATGTCTACAGTTTTTCTAAATGGCAAAAAAGTATACTTTTTCTTCTTGTGATCAGAGAATTCATTGAATGGGATACAAGCACAATTTTTTATACTTCTTTTTCACTTTCCAATTTGAGGTTCATGACGAAAGAGTAGGGGGAAAGAGAAAAGGGCAGGGGCCAAATTCAAAACATAAACCTACGTCCAGCATATGATGGCAAAATCATAGGTCCAAAGTCAACAGTGTCCAGCGGATGAAAATTGAATCATGCATCAGTGCCAGAAGAGAAAAGGCTAGGTACTTTGAGTTAATCAAAGAAACATCCACCCTCTCCTTTTCTTTCTTCCAGCAGTCATCAATTACTGATTTTTCAAAAAGCCAAATAATGATTTGCAGAGGCAATTATGATCAATTATAGATTATAGTAAAAAGCGAGCACAAATGGGCAGGCCACACTTACAAGCATAACCATGCAAACTTAGAAGAAAAATTTGCACTATTTTGTGAAAAGCTACAACTGACTTCAGAATACAGGGGAAGCTACCTCTCTGGCATTTTGCCAGCACTGCCATTTTAAAGCCGCGAGTAAAAAATTCTTTGGAAACTGGACGAAAAAATATAAAAGAAACAAAAAAGATAAAATGAGTCCTTAATGGTCAACTAAAACACACATTCTCAAAGCGGTATTGCCTAAACTACTCTGGCCTCCGACGAGGACTAGAATATACAACCTCCACGTTATGCACTTTATGAGGCGAATTCACAATTTAACTCGTTGCATTTGTGGTGGGCTGAAAAGAGCGATTGCTGCCAGCGCTGGAGAATTACTCTCATTTTTCAGAAAGTGAGCTGAGAGCTCAAGGCTACAGAGAGTTTCCTTAAATCCCATGTCCCCATACTGGGGGAGAATGCAACAGCACCCAAAGCTAAAGCAACAGCTGTAAAGGTCAAACATGTCATACACCCATGACTTCGCGATACTCTTCCTAGGATTATTTTGCTACACTTATCAGCATCCTCAATGAGTGCTAGCTGAGCAGCATCTGTCCCACTAGACAACGCTTTATCATTCTGTAGCCAAAAAGTAGCCAGTCATTATTTAAAGAAAAAAATTCACATATTATGAAGCAGTCATATATAAATGAATCAGCACGGGCCAATCAGTCCATGTCAGGGGTATGGGTAAGCAGCTCCAGATTACTTAAATCGACAATATCATGTAGGTATATGGATGAGAAACTACCTTTTGCCTAAAATTTCTTAGAGTTTCCCTCAGGGGCTCGAAAGGAGATATTTTTGCTGCGTGCCCAGTCCAATCTTCAGAAAGTTGTTTCAGAATGGAAACACTTGCTTCTAAGTTGTCTGGATAAATTTTTTCCTGTCCGTGATCAATAAAATATGAGACTAAACTAAAATTAAATAAAATCGAACTGCCCTTCAAGACATAAAACATGCAAAAATCTTGTATGACGTCAGAAATGAAAGTGGCAAGCCCATAGACAGAATGGCTCACCCATTGCCTGTAACATTCTGAACTTTGGCTCAAGCACCAAATGAAAACACCAGCCGCTTCTTTTGACAACTCAGGATTGCCTGGAAAACACAGCTACGCTACATATAATTTCTAATATATATTTACTTCTCTCTAATATTTCATGCGGGAACAAAAAAAAGGAAACAACAAATGAAGCTATAAAATATGGTTCACATACCTTCTCCAGCTGCCCTGATTGCAAAACTAAATATTTGCTGTGAATTTTGCTTCATTGCTTTACTTCCAGGGGAACCAGCGAGAGCTACCTCTTTCAGAGTGGAATATATTGCCTCAAACCTTTCAGTAGCCTATACAGAAACAGCAGATGACGTGAGTCTTGAAAGCACATTATGGGCTACAACAACTGAATTGCAAACATGCAACCAGATGAAAATCCACCTTTACTCTAGCCGAAGATGTGGGGAATGTAACCCGCATTAATATTTCAAATGCAGATGGTGGAATTAATCGCTCCCCTTTCCTGACTGCACCATTTATTAAAATAGGCCGTGCTTTTGGAGCAGACAAAATTCTGCTGCCAATACAAAAAAATAACAATGGCATCAAGAAATTGCAATACCATTGAGGAGAAAAGGCTAATAAGAAACTTGCTTAATTACATACTTCTCTACAAGCTGCAAAACCAAATCCCTGGACTGTGGATTAACACTTTTGCCGCTCACTATTGGCAGGAGATTGCGTGCCCAAGCATATAAACCTACTGAGAGGTCTCCTATTGAAGCCTGGACAGAAGTACTTCAATGTTCAGCATTATAAAACTGAAGGGAAGAGTAAAGTCAAATTGAATGTTTTAGGCATTTTTCTGGGGGGACTCGTATAGTTGTTTCAGCATTCAGCACTCACCTGAGATATCATCCATACAATCACTGGAAGCTTATCGTGGCCTTGATACTTTGAATTGTCTCTCAATATGGGTAACTGGCTAATTAGAACATCAGGCTTCCGCCGCAACACCATAGCTAAGACTGCAAACATTGCAACCTGCAAGAAATGCCAATACAAAGTGAAAAGAATAATATATTACCATTTCAAAAAATATTTATAATTCCCCATGAAGATTGTACCATAAATTCAACTCAAGCTTCCTCTTTTAGCCATATATCTAGATGCAAGGCGGAAATGAATTAGGTGCTAGAGAGCACGTCATTGGCAATTCATTTATTTATTTTCTCTAGTTTATGGGATCTACAGGTCACAAAGACCCTATAAGAAAATGAAAACAACGATAATACTAAAACAATCATCAACACTGACTCATACATCAGCTACTTGCACATAGTTGTAGTTGACATTAACTAGACTCAACCCCATTGAATAGCTCCCAGAATGGCATACAGGACTTAATGACATAATTTAAAAGAAAATATCAAATCTCGTTCAGAGATGGAAAGCCCATAAATATAAAGAACTCATTGATGAACTAGTCAAACATCAGTAATTCAAGGCAAACCGCACTGTTCACCAGTGGGATCAAGTTACCTGAGATTTTGCAGTCATGTGCTGTACAGCCTTTTTGGAGCCCTTGGCCACAGCTTGCTGGCTAGCCAAATCAGCAAGAATACTGTCTAGAGACCACAGCACAAAGGAACTAAGTGCCTCAAGAGAACGTTGATTGATCCAGTCAATTGATGTCTTGTATACAAGGTCAGAAATGTGAGATAGCGGCATCTGGTAAAATGTAAACTTGTTAATTAGCTTCCCAGGAGAAAGTCAGATAAATAAAACGAAAATTATTATGGTCACATAAGAAAGAGTTTGAATGCTAATGATGTCCATCAGATTTTGTTCGAACATTATCTTACCATAACATCAAGTAATCTTACAAGGCATAATAAAATCTACAATGGTACAAATAGAAAGGAATTAGCAAAAAAATTGTGTCGTGTTACAAACACATTCAGAAATTTCAATATTGTATGATCTCATCACTACCCCAAAGAATGTCGTGAGGCATGATGGTCTACAAACACAAGCAGAAAGATATTAGAACATTATCATATTGTATAATGGGCAGCTTTCACTTGATTCATTCAATGTTTAGAATATTCAAGGGAAAAATCGCGATACATGGTTTCCGATAAGTTTAACGTTCATAATTACAATCATATTATACTCGCCGATAAGATCGCACCACATTTAGTGGCACAGAGAATTAAAATCAATATGCATTTCAATTTAAATTCCCAATCACTTCATCATCAAGAATAAAGAATATCAAAGAAAGAAAGAAGCAATACATTGGAAAGCATTCTTATTTTGAAAAGCAATACAGAACCTCAAGGAACAAAGACACTCTGGCCTAGTTCCCATTTTTATTTGAAGGTGACCAAAGGTTCACACTTCAGCGCGTACATTCGCAATCTAGTTCCCAATGGTCAGCGCTTTTCACCATAACTACATGCATGCAAATAAAATGCGCGGCTTATAAGTCGATGTCAGATGTCTTTTGATGCAATCTATCACAGTTAAGCAACAGTGACAAGCTTATCAAGGCGCCGTTTTTTTATTAAAAAACTTCGGTCTTCCCAAATTTATCATCACGACTATAATTACATGGATGCATGGATCATATAAGAATTAGAAGAATGGATAACTCACATCAGCCATCTTTGACACTGTTGACTCCCTCAACAGCTTTATCCAGGGAAATTGTGAAGAGCCCACAGCAGAAAATGCACGCCCAAAATAATCAGCAAACCGCATCATCTGTATGTCCTGCTGCGACTCGTATGATGTCTGTTGGAAAAAGCAAACAGACAATTAAACCGAACGCAGTTCCTCCCTGAATCAACAGATCAAACCCACACACACACACAGTCGTGGGTGATTCACAACCCATAAAGCAAGTAAGATGCCACACCGATATCTCAGCAAGAAAAGCCGCCAGATCAGCCGCATCAATCTTCGCAGCCGCTTCGGCAACGGTCACCTTAGGCTTCTTCGGCTTCTTCTGCTTCACCTTCTTCACTTCCTCCACTTTCCCATTCTCCGGTGCATCACCATCTTCATCTTCTTCGTAATCATTGTAATCAGACCGTTGCTTCGATCTGGGGGGTACATCAACATCACCGGCATTGGCCGCCCTCTGTGCTTCGAGAATTCTCCGGCGCCGGTCCTCTGACTGCTGCTCCAGGGACCGGAAAAAGTTGTCAGTACCGGCCACGATTTCACTGGTAGCAATCCTATTAGGATTCGCGTTGGAATCAGAGTTGTTGGCGGGCTTAGTCTTCCTCTGTCGCTTAGCGTAGGTGACCTTCTGCCAGCCATGGTCAGGAGCAGTGACCCCATTTACTTCACTAGCACTTGACTCGAAAGCCGCATGCACTCCTTCCATTGTGGCGAGCAAGGCTTCTCGATTCCTCACACTTTTTTTCTTTTTGGTGGGAACCGTGAGGGGAGAAGAGAATTTTATGGAGTTGACTTTGTTGAATTTGACCTTTACTTGAGGTCTGAATTACGACGCTGCCACGAACTAGGTGTTAAACAGAAAGGGCGGCACGTGTTTTAACCAATAGTTATAGAACGCGTGTCAATTTAATCACCATGCAGAGTACGCAGAAAGGCAGAAAAATATTATAAGCACATGACAAAATATATATATATATATATGTATATATATCTATCTTGAGCGATATATCCTATTTATAAATTATTTTTAATATTTTTTATATAAATAAATAAAAATTTTAAATTTTATTAACTTTCATTTAAAATTTAATAATTTTTTTATTTTATTTCTATTTAATATATATTAAACCTCGTATAAATAAAATCAATATAATAATAAATAAAAGATAAAATTATATATCCATATAAAAAAATTTTCTCAATATCTTATAAACAGGACTATAATATGTCTTGTCTCTGCTCTATAAATAAGATCAGAGGAGTAAAATGCTACTAATTAATAGTCCTAAATATAATACTCAATTCACTTTGTTTTTTAAATGGATAATATGTTTTAAAAAACATCCCTATTGATTGTGAGGCATCTTTATCCAAATATAATTTCAATGTATATGATTAAGTAAGGGTAATTTAAGAAAGTCAAAATACATTAGTTAGAGATAACTAACTTAATTGGATACATTAATTATACATAATTAAATTAACTAATTTTTTTAAATTAAGTATTTTTAATGAGATTGTAAATTAAGCATTTAGCCTTTATATTAAGCAGTGAAGGATATGAAAATTCAGTCATGATAAAATAGATAGAGCCGGATGAATATAGTTCAGATTTCAAACTCGATAAAGTGAGTGTTTAATTAAAGAAACAAGTTGGTGTGAGCGTGTGACGCTCGCTTTTGTGATATTAGATCTCTATCTCACTTAACTCTCAGGTAATAATAATTGAAAAAAGAAGTTCACATCACAATCACAAAAAGGGAAAGAGTTCTCCGGCTTTTTTAAAATTAAAAAGACCAATAGGGACAAATTAAGAAAAAGTATGTGATTGATAAAATTAATTAGTGAATGGTAGATCTGAAAGTGGAGGTAACATTCATCAATTAAGTTTTTCAATCAGAAACTTTGTCTCAATTTTTCTTGTTTTTTTGGCAAAAAAAGGAATTTAAAAAAAAAAAACCAAGAGGAAGATTGAGGAAAAGTAGAAGACGTCTCTTGAATATCAAACCAAGAAGGGGCCAGGAGCACGTGATCTGTGACGGTATGAGTGTGATCGACAAAAGATAAGCTTTCGCATCTAGAAGAGGGCGGATTAATATTAAATTAACAATAATTAATGATCACCCAATAGCCATTTAACACCCTAATTACCCCTTCACCTCCATATTGCTCCTTGTGGCCATGGGCTTACTTTGACGTAATAAGTAATTTTTTGGTCATAATTTATGAAATATAAAGTAAATACGTAAAAAAAATTATCTAAACTTATATAAAATGTAATTATAAATATTTTTAATTGTGATTTGAAATGAAGTCTGGCTGGGCAGCAACTTTCATTCTTTCGGATGATCTCTATGTAGTGCCTGCTGATTCGGATTGCATGGGAAAAGCTCTTGGCGGCCAGGGCTCTGAAAAAAGGACCATCTGCTTTGGTATGTACGCTGTCACGTTAAAAGGAAGTCTGCAGGAGGGACGTACGAATGATTAGTAAAACTGAGTTGGGAAGATAAAGCCATTGCATGAATCACACGATGACGTGTCCATTTTATTTGGCACCAACGAGAGTAGACATCCTGTTAATTAATTTCTTAAAGATAATTGCTAGTATGTATAGCCGAATCTTTGGTTATACAAAGACATTGAACAACTTGGTTATCGGTAAAGGATTACCTAGGACCTATTCTGCATGTTTGGATTTCGTGATCCTCAAGAATATTAACATTAATTGGACTACTCTTGATTCCTTGTCCGCAACAACAAAGAATTATTCCTTTTTTGTTTTCTCTTTTGCCTTCCCTTCTGCCTTCTTCCTTTATATAATCCCTCCTCCTCCTGTTTTCTCTGACCATTTTTCTTCCCGCACTTCCCCAAAATTGATAGCTCCTTCACTTGTAATAACCCTTTTTCCCCTTTCTCTATCTAGCTAATGGTCACTGAAAATTTTGACTAATGAGTGTGTATGGGTTTCTCATGCGCTGGTGGCAATATGACTTTCCCGTCATATATATTTACTATTGGCTTTGACGTCATGGGTTAATTTTGACATGATATTTCTTTTTTATGATCATAAGCTTGAAACTAATTTGTTGTCTAGGTTTCTGATTTTGATTGGCCAGGGATCATCATCATAAGTCGACTGGACCATGCAGAATCAGCAGCCGAAGGACATAACATACCAGAAAATCGCATGGACGATCAGAAACTTCAGGACATTGAAGACCAATACCCGACATTACTCTGAGGTTTTTACTATCGGCGATTGTAATTGGTAACTGGAATCTTTCTTTCAAATACTACAATACAATTCCTCATTTAATTGTCATATGCGTGTTCGTTTTGAGAATTCAATATTTATAATAATTGGGTAGAAATAAAATAAAATAAAGACTGTAATTAGTTGATGGTCAGATCATCGAAAAAGCTAAGTTGCATGGCTGAGGAATAGATAAAATTTAATTAACATATTCATACAATTGTTCTTTTGCCGTAAATGATGCAGGAAAGTGTGTGTATACCGAGGAAGACAGGACGGCAAGTTTTTGGCCATATATTTGTACGTAGCCGATGCTTCGAGTTTGCCTTCAGGGTGGAGCATAGATGCAGACCTCACTCTCACTGTGGTCAATCAAGTTTCCAGGGAAAAATCTGCAAAAGGAGGTACCATCATTTCATATTTGTTCATTATTTACTCCGCTAAAACTTGTTTTCGGTTCGGTGGTCTCATTTTTAGATCGGAATGGGATGGCTCGATCTCATATAGTAGTCTTTCAATTGAATATGCAGATATAAAACACAAGTTCTGTGCACATGCAGTTAATAGGGGTTACGCATCCTTTATGCCTTTGAGGGTACTTCAGGACCCATCCAGTGGGTTTATTTCCAAAGATAATTGTATTGTGGAAGTTGAATTTTATGTGGTCAAACCTGATCGCATTGAGCCTCCAAGCCATTTAACTTATCCTTCCTTGTCCAAGGAATCCAAACAAGTTCCCGCAAAGGAACCAAAGGCGGTTGAGGATGATGATGTGGTTGATTTCAAGGATTTGGGGCGAATAGAGAAACCGTTTGTTCCACTGCTAGAGGAAGTTCTTTCATGGCATCCCTCATTGATGGACTGTAAGAACAATAGAAGTCGTAGGTTTACAGAGTGGGCATTTAATGGTTTGGGTCGAGTTCTACAATTTTTGAAGGAAAAGAAGTGGAAGGATATGAACGACGAGAATTGCGAGCAACTTCAAAATTTATGGGAAGAACTTGAGATAAGTAGATTAGACTTAAGTTGGTTGGAACCTCTTGTTAAATCTGCTTTAAAAATGAAAGGATACGAGGAGAAGGCAGAAAAAGTGAAGAAGTTGAAGGAAAACTTGGAGGCTTTGGAGACAGAAATGAAGGAGTTAAAGGAAAAACTGGGTGACTCAGACCAAAATGTTGAAATGATAAGAAAAGATTTGGCCAATGTAGAAGAAGGCTTCGAAGAAAAGGATTTAGATGCAGAAATTGGATATGGAAAACCCTAAAATAAGGATGTGGATGATTACCTAATGTAAAAGGACCACTGGATGCGTAGAATTCTTTTATTATTATTTACTTTTTATGCCAATCCAACGTTTCATGTTTTATATTTGCCCGAATCTTTTGTTATTTTCTTACAGAGACGTATATTCTCTCAAAACAAAAAATCCATATTATACGCAGTATAATATAACAAAATTACAAAAAAAAAATTGCATAATATGTAAAAATCATAAATCATTTAATCCAAATTAACTGTCCAATATGCACTTGAAAACAACTTACTTTACATAAAAGAATGATTTAGCAGATACTGAGACCATGCCTACATGTAAAACTCAATCCATAAAGTTTACATGCACGCAATAAATACCTATGTGTGAAGAAAATTGAAAAGTACTCCTCTGGTCTTTAATATAAGACCCATTGAACTAATTTGATTAAATTAAGAAAGTTAGATGATTATAAAAAATATGACATGTTTTTCTTAAAATACCATAATCAACTTTTTTAATATCCTCTATCCTTTTTGTACATACTTGATTATGATCGAGGGAGTCCGTATGGGTAATTTAGAAAAAAATTAATAAATAGGATAAATACGTCTTATATTTAAGACTAAAATCAATTCAACAATTAGGTCGTATAAGTAAATACACTGAGTCACTATTTAGAACCGCAAGGAATAATATACTTTAAACGGAACCAGTTGAAACTAATACATTTATTTTTCTACCGAACTATAGTTAAACTTTCTAATCCAACGAAAAGGGCTTCTATGTTCTGTAACTGTTGAGAACAACTTTTTAGATATTTTTGTAAAAGCAACAATATAATCAAAGAAAAGATGAACCATATATATTTTCCTCATGTTGATTTTGAAATATACAAAGATCACCGGCTGTTAATCACTTAATCCCCACTTATAAATGCAGTATATTTTTCATAGCCGATCTTTTCTTGAGATATAGACCAGAAAATGACAGCATGCATGTCTCTAGACTCTAGGAACATTATGACTTACCCAAAAGAGTTTCAATCAGACAACCTTTAAATATTGGGTCACGCAAGCCAATGGACAACTTGGGTAATTGGTAAAGATTACCTAGTTCTTACTCTAAATTTGGAATTTCTGATCCTCAAGAATAGTGACATTGAAGTGTCTTCGTTGTCTGCAACAAGAAAGGATTATCTTTCTATCTTCAGTTTTGTTTCCTCTATTCAGCAGTTTCCTTCTGTTTTCATTTATATATATATATATATATATATATATTTATTCAGTTCCCCTTCATGCGTCATTGAAAGATCAGGGTCTCTGCGTCTGCGTCTAAAGGCTGCAAGCTTCATCAATACGGGAGTTACGATCGCATAATCTCTCATTCATTGTGCGGTCACCTTTCAAATAACTTGCTATGGTTTCAATTTAATTTTACCATCGTCACTATTGGCCGGTTCTTATACTCGATGTTTCAAGTTTAATTTTGTCTTGTGGCGTTAACGGCTTTCAGGTTTTTAATAGTAGTACCATATAGAGATGTCACAAGGTGATATAACCTTCAAGAAAGTAGCATGGACTATCAAAAACTCCAGTACGTTGAAGAGCAATCACAGACACTGTTCTGAGGTTTTCACTATTGGCGGTTGTGATTGGTATGAGTTAAAATCTATCACATAATACACGTATCCTTCACCTCTTCTTATCTATTATTCTATATGAATGCGCCTCATTTCTTTCTTCACTCCTTTCTTTTTTATTTTTCAATGGAAAAGTAAGTATTAACGTAATTTACAAAAGAATACAAGGAAACCATCTAACCTCTTTCTTCATTCCTTTTAGTCATCACGTATGCATGTTTTTTTCGTTCGATCAATGACATGATAGTTATCCATTCAGATAAGATTGTAAATTAACATATTAATGCAATCACTCACTGTTCTCTGTGTGTGTGTGTGTGTTTTTTTTTTTTTTTTTTGAGGAATGGTCATAGGAAAATTATTTTATACTGTGGGAAGTATGCGGTTATACATTTGGAAGTAGCTAATGCTTCGAGTTTGCCTCAAGGATGGAGTATACATGCAGCCTACACATTTACAATCGTCAATCAAGCTTCCATTAAAGAATCTTTCAAAAGAGGTGCCATTACATGATCCTTCGTTGTTTATTCTTCTAAGAGCTGCTTTCGTTTTGGCAGTGTCATTTTTATGGTATCCCTTTTCTTTCTCAAAAATTAATTTTCTCCTGCAACCTAAAGAGTAAGTAAATAAAATATTAGACTATGATATTAAGGTCTAAGATTATAATTAACACTGGATTATAATTTTATATCGGAATGGTGTGGCCCAATCTTATAGTCGTCTTTCACTGATGTTCCTCTGCTTTTGGGGGAATTGAATGCAGATTTCGAAAGCCAGTTCCATGCTGCAAATAACCTCGATTGGGATTCTCTATTTTATATGGAATTAACTAGGCTTCAAAACCCATCTAGCGGCTATATTCTCAATGATAAATGCATTGTTGAACTTGAATTTTCTCAAGTAAGCTCTCAAGGCACTCAGGTTGAGAAGGCATTGGTCCAAAAGGATGATGATGTTGTTGAGTTCAAAGATTTGGGACAAATAAAGAAAGCATTGGTTCCACTACTAGAGGAGGCTTGTTTGTTGCATCCTTCGTTGATGGATTGTAAGCAAAACAGAAGTCTTGAATTTACAGAGTGGGCATTTACTGCACTGGGTCGAGTTCTGCAATTTCTAAAGAACAAGAAGTGGAAAGATATGAACGAGAAGGCATGTGAGGAGCTTCAACAATTGTGGGGGGAGCTTGAGATGAGCAGATTAGACCTGAGTTGGCTGGAACCTCTCGTTAAATCTGCTATAAATATGAAAGGATATGCTGACAAGGTGGAGAAAGTGAAGAAGTTGAAGCAAGAGTTAGTAGTTTGGGAGGTAGGGATGAACAAGATAAAGAAAAAGCTAGTAGACACGGAACAAAGTGTTGAGATGATAAGAAAAGAATTGGTGAATGCAAAACAAGACTTTGAAGAGAAGGATTTGGATGCAGACATTGGGTATGGGAAGCCCCAAATTAAATCTCAGAGCACAAATATTACTTGATAATGTAACATGCTACCTGCTTTATGCTTGGGTAAATCTGCCACAACTTTCCTAATTAATTAAGCGTCTAAATACAGAACTGTGCTTCTTTAGAAAATGTCTAAAAGGATGTTCTCAAGGATTCCAGATACAGACCACATATTGAGCATGCGTCCAGGAATATTCTGACTTCCCCAAACGAGTTTCCATTAGACAACCTTATAACAAGATTCCTTAATCAAAACATCTTAATGAACAAGTATTTGACTGTTTTAAAAGGCTTCTGATGTATTTTGTTTTCCCCATGAGGATTAATGCTATGTTGCTTGACTCTATTTAATGCCGCGCCTAGAGTGACATATCTTCGAAACATCAGAGAAACTTTTACAAATTTCAAAATCTTAAAAAAGTACAAGTAAGATAGAAAAATCAAAATGAAGTTTTTAGTTGTGAAAATTTTCCACAAATCCCAAATAAAAAAAATCAAATACTAATTACTAGGTCTTCCGAATTTAAGAAAATTAAACATTGCTTTAATTTGGGATTACTAATTTCCCTTAGCACAAGAAATATCATGACGTGTCCCTTTTATTTCTACTTGTCCACGTGTTCCCTTTCTCATAATGAATTGATATATAGCCGAATCTTTGGCTGGGCAAGTCAATAAAAAGAACTTGGGTGTGCGTAAAGAATTACCTAGTACCCACTCTGCATTTGGAATTATCTAAGCCCCAAGAATAATCTTGGAGTCTCTTTTTGTCTCTGCAACAAGCAAGGATTACCCCTTTCTATATCTTCATTTTGATTTCTTTCTGTTTTCCTTTATAATGATCTCTTTCGTGCGTCTTTGTATTAGTCTTGCGGCAATTAGTATCTGCATCTAAAGGCTGTGAGCTTCATTTCCCATACTTATTACAGGTTCTGGTTCCTGGTTAACTAAATTTTATTATGGTTACTGTAGGTTCCTATATTCGAAGCTTCAAGTTGATTCTTGTCTTATGCATGCATTAATGAGCTTCAAGCAATTGATTGAATATATATATATATATATCAAAAGGAGACTGTACGAAGGATATGTCATGCAAGAAAATAGCACATGGACAATTAGAAACTTCATTGCATACCATTATGAGGTTTTAACTATAGGCCATTGTGCTTGGTAACTGAAATCTACGCTTGTGTATTTTTCATCTCTTGTGTTCTTTGAAATCTCTTCTTTTAAATAGAACAAATCCTCATTTCTTTCTTCTCCACTTTTCAGTTGTCATATTTTTGTTCTTGGTTCTGTGGATGATATAGTATTTCTAAATTCGGTTAAAATTTAATTCAAACGCTGCATATGGTTTTGGGGTGGGGGGAATTGTTGTGGAATAGTTGCCTTGTATAGAGGAAGACAAAACTGGAAGCCTCTGGTCCAACAAGAATAATGATCCTCCTTTTTTCATGTTTCTTACGTTCAGTTTCCTTCTGTTTTCGTTTATAATTCCTATGATCCTCCTCCGGCTTTCTATTGATTTTTCTTTTTGCCATATTCATTGCTGGCTTTGACGTGTCGGTTGAAATCCTCTTCATCTGATAGCTTGTGATATATGCATAAATGCTGAAAACTAATTTTATTTTACCCTTGACCAACCCAGCTGTGCTGTTGATTTTCAGGTTTCGATCGTGCTTACGTAAACATATAAACACAGCAAGTTGATTGTGCGATGAAGAACCAGGAATCGAAGGATATATTAACATGCAAGAAAATGGCATGGACTATAACAAACTTCAGTTCACTCATTCTGAGGTCTTCACGATCGGTCAATGTGCTTGGTAATAGACAAAAAAATTTTGCACAGGCAGAGGAGGAAACTCGATATGTATATATATATATATATATGTTATCAGCTATATAATAAGCATAATATAATTGTCGTAGGAGACTTGTTGCATACAGAGGAGAAAGAGATAGCAAGTCAATGGGTATATATTTGAAAGCAGCCGATGCTTCAAGTTGGCCTCAAGGGGGGAGGGTACTGGCAGCCTTCAGCATAACGGTGGTCAATCAACTTTCCCGGAAAAAATCTCTGACACGCGGAGGTATTCTTGCATATTCATTATTGTTATTCCTCTTCTAAAAGGTTGTTTTCACTTCGATGGTGTCATTTTTAACTGTAAGATCCTTTTTCTAAATTTGAAAACGGCAAATTTTTATATTTGGGTGATTTGATTGAATAATGCAGAAGTAGATGTACAATGCAAGTTCTGTGCAGCTACACCTACATGGGGTTTCGGTAGTTTTATGGCCCTAAGTGAACTTGAGGATTCATACAAGGGATATATGTCCAGTAATAAATGTATTGTTGAAGTTGAATTATTCTCCGTGACATTTGAAGGCATTAAGCCTGCAAAAGATGATGATGTAGTTGCCTTCAAGGACTTGGGAAAAGTAGACAAATCGTTGGTTCCACTGCAAGAGGAGGTTTGTTCGGGGCATCCTTCATTGCTAGACTGTATGAAGAATAAAAGTCGCAGGTTTACTGAATGTGCATTTACTGCACTGGGTCGAGTTCTGCAATTTTTGAAGGAGAAGAGGTGGAAGGAAATGAATGACAAGGAAACATCTGAGCAGCTTCAACAATTGTGGGAGGAGCTCGAGACGATCAGATTAGACATGAGTTGGCTAGAACCTCTTGTAAAGTCTGCTTTAAATATGAAGGGATATGATGAGAAGGTGGAGAAAATAAAGAAGTTGAAGCAAAACTTGGTGGTTGCAGAGACCGAAATGAACATAATAAAAGAAAAGTTGGCTAGCACAGAACAAAGTGTTCAGGTGACAAGAAAAGAAGTGGGGAATGCAGAGGAAGACTTTGAGGAGAAGGATTTGGATGTAGAAATTGGATATGGAAGACCTTAATCCTGTACATGGATAATGCAACCAATTCAACGCATCCTAGATATATGTAAGGAGATAACAGTGTTGTTATTTGATTTTTTTTTTTTTAATGCGAAATGCCATTAAAAGATTCAACAATGAGTACTTTTGAATTAAAATTTTGTTCTGATTTTAAATAAATTAAGAAATAAACTAACTAAAATAAAATTAATCGAAAAAAGTTAGGACTTATGTTAAAGATTTATTGTCACTGTTTAGAGATGAATGAATTTGATCTGAATCCAAAATATCATTTGTAAAACGTTTTGACTCATGAACTCAGAATTTAACAGTTTAAGTAAAATAATAATATGTTTTATAAAATATTATTAATTTAATTCACATTCTCCTTAAAATATTAGTATTATTTTAATTCACTTCCCCCAAAGACTAGCCATGCGAGTTGACGGCACCAGAGTTTGGTAAGCCTGCAGACTTAGCACTTTGACTTGTAATGCCCGTTTTGCTTCCCCATGCGTAGATCTGACATTAACCTTCTTTGAGCCAAACATGCAGAGAGGGAATATTAGCCAAGGAGAGAGTTGCCTTGGTGAAAAGATAGCACCACAGCACCAGGGAAGTCGAAAGGCAAAAAGCTGCATTTGCACAGAACTGGGAGTATCTGAATTCAAGTTTCAAAGGATACACACATATTAGGGGGAAAAATAATGAATCCCAGACCGAATTACCCAGATACTTGATAATAAGATCTAGAAAAGACATAGGATACCAGATGATAAAATCAAAGAAGATTAAAAAAATAGTTCAAATATAATTTTTCATAAAATATTATTATATCATATTATTATTGAAATATAAATAAATATATTAAAATTATTAAAATTTAATCTAGACAATTTATACTCATGAATCATGACACACACACAAAATTAATAGGTTAATATAATTTTCAATCTCTCAATTTTGATCTCATTTTGATCTCACTTCCTCAAGTTTTAAATGGTAAGTTTTGGTTCTCGAGTTTCTTTTCATTTAAATCATTCATCCTTATAAGTTTTTTAAAAAAAAAAACTATTTTGGCTATTAAGGGACCAGAACCTATGATTTGAATTTGAGAAACTAAGACCAAAATTCATGCAAACTTAAAAGGCCAAATATTATATTAATCTAAAATTAATTTATAGTATTAGCCAAAAACTTTCCATCCTGTCTTCCCCAGAAGTCGGCAGAATAGAGCAACGATCCTATGTGAATTAAATATTAAACATGACAACTAGAATGAAATGGAGATGAAATAATTAGATGAGGAATTGTGTTGTAGTGGTATTGTATTTTAATATTTGATTGAGAATTGCCTCCTCAGTCCTCACATTGGTACTTTAAGCCAATCAGGAGTTTTTGTTTTGCGAGCGTCAAGAGTTTTCTTTTTTTTTAATCATGCTCGTTCAATCATTTTTTTTTTGGCCTGAAGTTCAATCAAAATGCAATAAACCAAAAATTATATTGACTGAAAAATCACTCCTGAGATTTTCGGTCAATATGAAAAAGAAATGAAAGAGAAGTGAAACAGAAAATTAAAAAGAAAAATTGATAGGCCCCACCAAGAACAGTTCAGAAGCATCTGTACGTGCTCTGTGCAAATATTTTTCCCACGTTCTGTGAAGTTTTAACAAAATCGCCTTAGGCCTGTATTATCAGTGGACGTTCCCTTTCTTATAATTAATTGATTGATTGACATAGCCAAATATTAAAAAACTTGTGTTTTGTTTGATATGAGGTATTGAAAATAAGAGATAGATATTAGAATTGGAATTAAAAAAATCTACTAAAAAGATATTTAGTATGAGAGTTTACTTAATGCATGGGATTTGATAAACCTTTGTACGTGAGAATAGATAATGCCATGGGAAGAGATGGCATTTTCTAATCTCACATACATGAGTTTGTTTAATATCATGTAACAAGTAATTACTCATACTACAAACTTTTTTACTAATTTTTTTTAATTACAATCTCACTTCCTATTCTTTATTTTTAATGCTTGGTACCAAACGGCACCCTGAGGTATTGGCAAAGAATTACCCGGTGCCTACTCTGCATTTGGAATTTCTGATATTCAAGAATAATATATAACAGCGAAGCATCTCTTCGTTGTCTGCAAAAAGAAAGAATTATCCCTTTCTATTTGATCAGTTTTGTTTTCTCTTCTATTCAGCAGTTTCCTTCTGTATTCATATATATGCAGTTCCCCTCCATGCATCTTTGTATATATTTCAATTGCTGCAATTAATTAATATCCAGAAAGATCAGTCTCTGCATGCCTAAAGGCTGTGAGCTTCACCAATAAGGGAGTTACCTTCACACAATCCCTCGTTCACTCTGTGGTAACCTATCAAATCTGGTTTCAATTTAATTTTACTATAATCACTATCGGCCGCTTCTCGTATTGCAAGTTAAATTTTGTCTCATGAGTTAATGGCTTTTAGGTTTTGTTAATACAGACAGCTATCATAAGGAGATAGTACGATGACGAATCAGGAGCCGAGGGATGTAACATGCAAGAAAGTAGTGTGGACTATCAATAACTTTAGTACATTGCGGACCAATCACCAACACCATTCCGAGGTTTTCACTATGGGCCGTTGTGCTTGGTATGAGTGAAAATCTATCATATATTCTCATCAAAACCTCTCATCTCTTATTCTATGAATACAATTCCTCATTAATTTCTTTCTCCATTCTTTTCAGTCATCATATATGTATGTGTTTTCGTTTCGATGACATAATATTCATCCATTCACATAGAAGATGATTAAACTAACATCTCTCTCTCTTAATATTTTGGGTGGAAGAATGATCGTAGGAAAATTGCTTTATACCGAGGAAGACAAGATGGGAAGTATTTGGCTATATTTTTGGAAGTAGCTGATCTTTCGGCTTTGCCTCATGGTTGGAGTATATCTGCAGCCTACACGTTCACGGTGGTCAATCAAGCTTCCATTGAAAAATCTGAACGACGAGGTATTATTCCATGCTGCTTCATTGTTTATTCTTTTTTCTCCAGCAGCCTAAAGAGTAAATAAATAAAATAATAAACTGTACTATGAAGGCCTAACAGAATAATTAAAAATGGATTATAATTTTATGTTGGAATGGGATGGGTCAATCTTACAATAATCTTTTATTGATGTTCCTTTAATGCAGCTTTCTACAAAAAGTTCTGCGCAGATAGTAATAGTTGGGGTTATCCATCTTTTATGGATTTGGCTACACTTCAGAACCCATCTAATGGCTACATTTTGAATGATATATGTATTGTTGAAGTTGAATTTTCTGAAGTAAGCTCTGAAGGCACTCAAATTGTGGGACAAATAGAGAAAGCGTTGGTCCCAAAGGATGATGATGCCATTGAGTTCAAGGATTTGGGACAAATAGAGAAAGCATTGGTTCCTCTGTTAGAGGAGGCTTGTTTGTGGCATCCTTCGTTGATGGACTATAAGCAAAGGAGAAGTCGTAAGTGTACTGAATGGGCATTTACTGCATTGGGTCGGGTTCTGCAATTTCTAAAGAACAAGAAGTGGAAAGATATGAATGAGAAGGCATGTGAGCAGCTTCAACAACTGTGGGAGGAGCTTGAGATGAGTAAGTTGGACTTGAGTTGGCTAGAGCCTCTTGTCAAATCAGCTATAAATATGAAAGGATATGCTGATAAGGTAGAAAAAGTGAAGAAGTTGAAGCAAGAGTTAGTGGTTCTGGAGATAGAGATGAAAAAGATAAAGGAAAAGCTGGTTGACACGGAACAAAGCGCTGAGATGACAAGAAAAGAACTGACGAATGCGGAACAAGACTTTGAAGAGAAGGATTTAGATGCAAATATCGGATATGGGAAGACCCAATCCGATAGCACTAATATTATTTGATAATGTAACATGCTTCCTGCGTGATGCTTGCGTAAATCTCCTGTAACTCTCCTAATTAAGTGTCTAAATACAAAACTGTACCTTTAAAAAAAAAAAAGTTGTATATATATAAGCAGCTTATACCAAGTGTTGAATCGTTCTTTTCTATTCTATGTATACGGTTTTTTTAAAAGCCAATTTTGCCTATGAATTGAATTACGTCTCAGGATGGTTTACTTTGAAGAAGTCTACTATTGCCAACTTATGTTTGGCCATAATTTCCGATTAATTCCATGTTCATTACTATAATGCTAAACAAATTAAAGATAACACTATATAGTTAAATTGAAAAATGATCACCTCTTTGTCATATTTTGTTGCGTCTTGTACCCGAGCTTTAATGTATGTGCTGATTACTGCTATGAGAAGAAGCTAAGTTTTGAATCAATGGATATAGAAGTATGATCAATAAAAGAAATTAGTTAATAGAGAATATAAAACTTAAGTATAATAATAATATTAATCAGGTATATCCCTAGCAACAGTATTAATTAGAAAATAACCATTAAAAGAAAAATAAAGATAACAGAGTGTTGGAAACGGATCTGCATGCGTAATCCAACAAGAGGGGATTATATAAATTCTGCAACCCTTGAGAAAATCTTTTTAAATATTTTTGCAAAAGCAACGATCAAAGAATAGAAGAGCTATTTCCCTCATGTTGGTTGCAAACAAATCTCCAGTTATGCAATCTATTTTTTTATAGCCAATCTGTTCTTCAGATAAACCACAGATTATTGAAAGCATGCGTCTATGAATATTCTGACTTCCCCAAAAGAGTTTCCATTAGACGACCTTGAACAAGATTCCTTAAAATTAAAACATCCTAGGCATTATGAATCAAGTATTCGACTGTTTTAAAAGGCTTCTGATATATGTTGTCTTCTTCATGAGCATTAATGCCATGTTGTTTGACTATAGTTCATGCTACCATCGCCATGTATTATACAGTTCTCTTTTCTTTTCTACTTGTCCACGTGCTCCCTTTCTCATAATGAAGTGATATATAGCCGACTCTCTGGTTATGCAAGTCAATAGAAAGAACTTGGGCATGGGTAAATAATTGCCTAGCACCTACTGTGCATTTGGAATTACCTAATCCCCAAGAATAATATTGGAGTCCCTTTTTGTCTCTGCAACAAGAAAGGATTACCCCTTTTCATATCTTCATTTTGGTTCCTTCTGTTTTCCTTTATAATGATCTCTTCGTGCTTCTTTGTATTAGTCTTGCTGCAATCAGTATCTGCGTTTAGGGTCTGTGAGCTTCATTTCCCACTGTTATTACAGGTTTCGGTTTCTGGTTAATTATATTTTATTATGGTTGCTTTAGGTTCCTATATTCAAAGCTTCAAGTTGATTCTGGTCTTATGCATGCGTTAAATGAGTTTCAACTAAGTGATTAGATATATATATATATATATATATATATATATCAAAAGGAGATTGTACGGTAAAGAATCAGGAAACGAAGGATATGGCATGCAAGAAAATAGCACATGGACAATTAGAAACTTCGGTGCATATGTATTATGCTGAAACTTTCACTATAGACGATTGTGCTTGGCAACTGAAATCTATCTTGTGTAATTTTCAAATCTCTCGTGTTATCTCAATTCTCTTCTTTTATAAATATAACAAATCTTTATTTCTTCAGTTGTCATATTTTTGTTTCTAAAATTTAATTTAAACATTGTTTATGGTGGTTGGAAGAATTGTTGTGGGATAGTTGCCTTGTACAGAGGGGAAGACAAAACCGGGAGTCTCTGCTCCATCAAGAACAATGACATATCTTGGAATACCAGAAAGGAATATCCCTTAATTTCTTCATGTTTCTTTCGTTCAGATTCCTTTTGTTTTCCTTTATAATTCTATTCCTCCAATCCTCCGGCTTTCTATTGATTTTTCTCTTGCCATCGTTCATATTGCTGGCTTTGACGTGTCGGTTTAAATCCTATTCATCTGATCGCTTGTGATATTTGTTTATATATGCTGAGATCTAATTTTATTTTAAGTTTGGATTATTTTCACTTGCGATATAGTTTGAAATTAATTAATTTGGTCTTCTATGTCAATTAAGAGGCTTTAGGTTCTTATTTTATACCCTTGACCAACCCAGTTATGTGTTGTTGATTTTCGGGTTTCGATTGTGTTTAGGTAAACATACAAAGGTAGCAAGTTGATTGTGAGATGGAGAACCAGAAACCGAAGGATACAATAACATGCAAGAAAATGGCATGGACTATAACAAACTTCAGTTCATTCATCTTCAATGTCCCACGCTATTCTGAGGTTTTCACGGTCGGTCATTGTGCTTGGTAATTTTGTTCTCTTCCTGGGCCTGGAATTGAGCTTAGCAACTGTGACATATACTATTATAACTACGTGTTATTCTAAGAAAATCTCAAATCTTTGTGCAAGTATATGTGGCATTAGACGAAAAATTTTTGCATAGACAAAGGAGAATATATGTATTTAAATATATATACTCCTCCGATCTTTAATATAAGACCCATTTAACTAATTTAATTATATTAAGGAAGTTAGGTAAGTTAGTTAATTATGAGAAATGTGACACGTTTTTCCTAAAATACCATAATCATCTTTTTTAATACCTCTCTTCCTCTTCTACTTGATTATGGTTGAAGGAATATCCATAGAGGTAATTTAGAGAAAATTGATAAATATAAAAAATGAGTCTTGTATTTAGAACAAAAATTAACTTAACAATTAAGTTCTATATTAATAACCGGGAGAGTATAATCAAACATGTAATAAGAATGATATGATTGTCGTAGGAGACTTATTGCATACAGAGGAAAAAAAGACAGCAGCTCGTCAATAGGCATACATTTGGAAGCAGCCGATGCTTCGAGTTGGCCTCAGGGGGCGAGTGTACTCGCAGCCTTCAGCATAACTGTGGTCAATCAACTTTCCCGGAAAAAATCTGTGACACGCGGAGGTATTCTTGCATATTCATTATTCAGTAGTTATTCCTCTTCTAAAAAGTTGTTTTCGCTTCGATGGTGTCATTTTTAACTGTAAGATCCTTTTTTCTAAATTTGAAAACGGTAAATTATTATATTTGGGTGATTTGATTGAATAATGCAGTTGCAGAAGTAGATGTACAATGCAAGTTCCGTGCAAATAAATGTGATTGGGGTTACCCTCGTTTTATGGCCCTGAGTGAACTTGAGGAGCCATACAAGGGATATATGTTGAATGATAAATGTATTGTTGAAGTTGAATTATTCTCCGTGACATCTGAAGGCATTGAACCTCTAAAAGATGGTGATGTCGTTGATTTCAAGGACTTGGGAAAAATAGACAAATCGTTGGTTCCACTCCTAGAGGAGGTTTGTTTGAGGCATCTCTCGTTGCTAGATTGTATGAAGAATAAAAGTCGCAGGTTTACTGAATGTGCATTTACTGCATTGGGTCGAGTTCTGCAATTTTTGAAGGACAAGAGGTGGAAAGAAATGAATGACAAGGAAGCATCTGAGCAGCTTCAACAATTGTGGGAGGAGCTCGAGATGATCAGATTAGACTTGAGTTGGCTAGAGCCTCTTGTAAAGTCTGCTTTAAATATGAAGGGATATGATGAGAAGGGGGAGAAAATAAAGAAGTTGAAGCAAAACTTGGTGGTTGCTGAGACCGAAATGAACATAATAAAAGAAAAGTTGGCTAGCACAGAGCAAAGTGTTCAGGTGACAAGAAAAGAATTGAGGAATGCAGAGGAAGACTTTGAGGAGAAGGATTTGGATGTAGAAATTGAATATGAAAGACCTTAATCCTGTACATGGATAATGTAACTAATTCAACGCATCCTAGATATATGTACGGAGATAACAGTGTTGTTATTTGATTTTTTTTTTAATGCGAAATACCATTCAAAGATTCAACAATGAGTAATTTTGAATTAAAATTTTGTTCTGATTTTAAATAAATTAAGAAATAAACTAACTAAAATAAAATTAATCAAAAAAAAATTAGGATTTATATTAAAGATTTGTTGTCACTGTTTAAAGATAGGATAAATTTTGATCTGAACCCAAAATGTCATTTGTAAAACGTTTTAACTCATGAGCTCAGAATTTAACAGTTTAAGTAAAATAATAATATTTTTTTATAGAATATTAAATCTAAAATATTATTAATTTAATTCACATTCTCCTTAAAATATTAGTATTATTTTAATTCACTTCCCCAAAAGACTAGCCATGCGAGGTGACGGCACCAGAGTTTGGTGAGCCTGCAGACTGAGCACTTTGACTTGTAATGCCCATTTTGCTTCCCCATGTGCAGATCTGACATTAACCTTCTTTGAGCCAAACAAACATGCAGAGAGGGAATATTAGCCAAGGAGAGAGAGAGTTGTCTTGGTAAAAAAGATACGCACCACAGCACCAGGGAAGTCGAAAGGCAAAAAGCTGCATTTGCACAAAACTGGGAGTATCTGAATTCAAGTGAGACTGCCTTGAGAGGCTATCATAATCGGTAAGAGTAAGAGATCGAGCCATCCCATTTCCCATCCAACAATGAGCCGACCAAACAATCAATAACGATCCCTCCTTTTGCAGATCCCCCCCCCCCGGGCCAAACCCCCAAACAGAACAAAAATATTGATTGCCACAGTGAAAGTGAGCTCTGTTCGTATGCTTCATCCTGGAGGCCACCTCCAAGCATCACATACATACAATACAAACAGTATATGCATTTGCATCTTGGACCTTCTCCCTTTCTTCTCCTCTCAAACTCCTTTCTTTCTTTATGGTTAGATAGAAAATAAAATAGTAAATAGTCTAACAGTACATGACCTACTAAATTTCTCTGAGTCCCAAATTCAAGTTTCAAAGGATACACATATATTAGGAGGAAAAATAATGAATCCCGAGCCGGATTAGTCAATACTCACATACTTGATAATAGGATCTAGAAAAGGCATGGGATGCCGGATGATAATATCAAAGAAGATTAAAAAAAATAGTGCAAATATAATATTTCATAAAATATTATTATATCATAATATTATTAAAATATAATTAAATAAATTTAAATTATTAAACTTTAATTTGGACAATTTATATTCATGAATCATGATAAGAAAAAAAAATTAATGGGTTAATATAATTTTCAATATCTCAATTTTATTTGATCTCATTTCCTCAAGTTTCAAATAATAAGTTTTATTTCTCAAGTTTTTTTTTCATTTAAATCATTAATCTTTATAATTAAAAAAAAACTATTTTGGCTATCAGGGACCAGAACCTGTGATTTGAATTTAAGAACCTAAAACCAAAATTCATGCAAACTTGAAAGGCCAAATGTTATATTAATCTAAAGTTAATTTATAGTATTAGCCAAAAACTTTCTATTCTGTCTTCCCCGGAAGTTGGAATAGAGCAACGATCCAATGTGAATTAAATATTAAACATGACAACTAGAATGGAATGGAGATGAAATAATTAGATGAGGAATTGTGTTGTTGTGGTATTGTATTTTAATATTTGATTGAGAATTGCCTCGACAGTCCTCATATTGGTACTTTTTAAGTCAATCAGGAGTTTTTGTTTTGCCAGAGTCAAGAGTAAATTTTTTTTCTTAATCATGCTCGCTCAATCAATTTTTGTTTTGGCCTGACGTTCAATCAAAATGTAATAAACCAAAAATTATATTGACTGAAAAATGACCCCTAAGAGTTTCGGTCAACATGAAAAAGAAATGAAAGAGAAGTGAAACAGAAAATTAAAAAGAAAAATTGATAGGCCCCACCAAGAAGGTTCAGAAGCATCTGTACATGCTCTTTGTGTAAATATTTTTCCCACGTTCTGTGAAGTTTTAATAAAATGGTCTCAGGCCCGTATTATTTGAAAAACAAATGGAAAAGGCAACTACCAGTCAAAGGTAAACTCCAAAGATAGCTAATTTTGCAATATCTCGAGTACATCATCAGGACTATTTCCTTTTAACACTAAAATTTTAACCAATCCAGGGACGAGGACCTGATCTTCCTGGCTTCTTCAGGTTACGACTCTTTCTTTTCAGTTTGTTTCTTTCTTCTTTTCTCATTTCTATCTTCCTCCTCTGTTAACTCTTTTTTCTTCCAAAATCGCGGCTTCTGCCTTCTCTCTTTCTCCAGATCAGAGTTCAAATTTGTCTTTCATCTTAGGCTTTCAGAGTCCTCCATTGACGACCCACACCGGGCAGCACCTCAAGCCTTCATCTGCAAAGTTTTTTTGTTCTTGAAGGGAAAGAGTGATGGAATCTGTTGGGATTTTTTATCTTCTGTCTTTTCTCTTCTTCATTAGTCCTTTCACTGGTTGCTTCAACCGTTTTACACTTGACCCACCCAGTTGTGTTCTTGGTTTTGGGTTTTGATTGTGTTTAGGTGAACATATAGACAGAGCAAGTTGATTGCACAATGGAACCGACAGATATACTGGTAACAAGCAAGAAAATAGCATGGACTATTGGAAACTTCAGTTCACTGAAGACCAATGCCCCACATTATTCTGATCCTTTCACCGCTGGCCATTGTTCTTGGTACTTATCAACGTCTATTTTTAATATTTCCAATTAAAGCTCTTCTTTATCATACTACATTACCATTCCCCACCCGTTTCGTTTCCTCTAGTATTCATATGTGTATATATATATATATATATCTGTTCAGTTCCATATGACGATTCCATATCTATATATTCGGTAGAAAATAGTTTTTTTTTTTGTTTTGAAAATCATGTAAATTCGTCGATGGCTAAACTAATAGGAAAAAAATTGCATAAATGGGCAGAGAACGAGATACATGAATTTTTAGCATATTAATATAATTTTCTTTTGTGGTGATTGTTGCAGGAAGGTTGCAATCTACCGAGGACTGGAAGACGAGAAGTATCTTGGTATATTTTTGTGTGTAGCAGATACTAGTACTCTGCCTCAAGGTTGGAGCATAGATGCACACCTCACCATCATGGTGATCAATCAAATTTCCAGCCAAAAATCTTATGCAAAAGGTATATCATTCCATGCGCACGTCTTCATTTTTTATTTCTTTGATTAAAATTGCTTTTGCTCTGCTGGTGTCATTTTAAGGTATTTTCCCCCCTTGCTTAACTTAATGGGCTGTTACTTCCTCAAACGGCTGATTTTCTCCTCAACTCATTGATAGAGTGCATAAACTATTAGATTACCAAGGCCAAAAAAATGTGAATTGAAATTTTAGATTGGTATGGGACTGACCAATGTTACAGCGGTCTTTCAATGATGTTCCTTTGTTTCTGGCTAATGGAATGCAGGTTTGAGACATAAGTTCCGTGCAAGCGAACGCGTTAGGGGTTTTCGATCTTTCATGGATTTGACAGAGCTTCAAGACCCATCCAGCGGCTATATTCTGAATGATTATTTGACAGTTGAAGTTGAATTTTTGGAACTTAAGTCCGAAAGTGTTCAGCCAAGTCTCCTCGCAAATCCGACGGATGATGAGGCCCTTAGTGTTGATTTTAAGGATCTGGCGCAAATTGAGAGGCCTTGGTGCCATTCTTAGAATAAGTTTGTTCGTGGTATCCTTCATTAATGGATTGTAAGAAGAGAAGTCGTCGCCGCTTTACAGAGTGGGCATTTACTGCACTGGGGCGAGTTCTACATTTTCTAAAAAACCACAAGTGGAAAGATATGAATGAGGGAGCCCATGAACAACTTCAAACTTTGTGGGATGAACTTGAGATGAGCATATTGGATTTGAGTTGGCTGGAACCTCATGTTAAATCTGCTTTGAATATGAAACAATGTCTGGAGAAGGCAACAAAGGTGAAACGACTAAAACAAGAGTTGCTGATCTTGGAAAGGGAAATTAGCACAATGAAAGAAAATCTTGCTAAAACAGAGCAAGCTTTTGAAATGACAAGGACAATTTTAGTCAAAGAACAATTAGGCTTCGGCTTTCTGGAGAAGGACTCGAATACTGAAATTGGTTATGGGAAACCCTAACTTTATATATAATATGTCTTATAGCATGACTTTCTAATCCAACAAAAACGGTTCTTTATTCATGGGCCAACCCTTTTTTTTTTTTCCGGAGATATATTCTGACTGACCCATGCAAGTTTTCATGGGACAAACGTTGACAAACATCCTATGAATCAATGAGGGAGTTACTTTAGGTTCATGCGTCTTTGAAAGATCAGGCTCTCTGTGCCTGAAGGCTGTGAGCTTCATCAGTAAGGGAGTTACATTCGTGTAAACCCTCATTCACTCCGTGGTTAACTTTCAAACAAGCTGCTATGGTTTCAATTTAATTCTCCTATCGTAATTATTTGCCGCTTCTTATATTCAAACTTTCCTGTTAAATTTTGTGTTGTGCATCATTCAACGACTTTCAGGTTTCTATAATTCATACAAATATCATAAGGTGATAGTACAATGACGTGAATCAGGTGTCGAAGGACCTGGGACTATCGAAAAATTTAGAACATTGAACCCCAATCTCCAACAACGTTCTGACGTTTTTCACTATCTGCGGTTGTGTTTGGCAAAATTATTTATTAGGACTTGAGAAAGAAAATTATCCAATAAGGCACGTGAGTTTTTCTCTATCTTCTGGGCATGCAAGTCATTAACTGAAGAAATTATGCTCTGCATTGGGAGCTTGAGATCCTCCAGCATGATAACACTGTACTAGTCTCTAGTGGTCAACTGCTCATTTATGCTTTCCGTGTTTAGTTTCCTTGTATCCTTCTTCATTATATTTTTTTGGTGCGGCTTTCTCCAAAATATTTTATATTATCAAACATAAATTTACCCAAAAAAAACGTCATGTGAAAAAAAGTTATGATCATAATAATAAAATATTGTTGACAAAAATAAATTTTAATCAGTAAAAAGTTTCTTTAAATTGCTTTAAAAAATGAGATGTCGGAATTTTTGAAAAGAAATGGTATTTTTTTATTTTGTTATCATTATGACAGATCTTTTCTTAAAAATATAAAATTTTAATTCAGTTAATTTATAATTTTAAAAAAACCACGGATGATGAATGGTGAATAATGAATATTGAAGTCAGCAATTATTGTAGAAGTTGTAATGAAAAACGCGGAGGCTCGAAGCTCGATATTTGACTGTGATCTGCCTTTGGACTCCCGGGGTGCGTGTCTTTTTCAGGGGCATATTTCTTCATATCTCAAGAGTCAAGACGACTTCCTCTCCTGTCTGTTGGATGAAACTCCTTGTGCATTATCTTGCCTGCATCAGTGCTATTTCCCTTTAACTCCAGTTTCAGCGACCTTCAAGCTCTGATCTTTTTGGCTTCATCAGGTTGATGCGGCTTCTTTTCAGTTTATTTGCATTTTGCATCTTTCTTTATTTCTCTCTGTTTTTTGTTTTTCATTTAAATTTCCATCTTCCTCTTCTTTTAACTCTTCTCTTCTTTTTTCGAAAATGGTGGCTTCCGCCTTCTCTTTCTCTGAGTTCAAGTTTCATTTTCTTTTTTTGCCCTTTACGCTTTCAGAGTCCCTCGATTGACGAACCACACCGTGCAGGACCTCAAGCCTTGACCTTTCCCGCTAGTGAGTATATGGAGTGTTTTTCGTCGAATTTTCTGCACATTTTATTGTTATTGAGAAGAAAAAAAAGATGGATTTGTTGGGATTTTTTTATCTTCTGTCCCTTTTCTTCTACATCTTCTCTGTTTTTCACATATTGAGGAGTTACTGTACATACTGTCTGGAAGCGCCCGGTCTTCCAAAATCGGTGCCGGATTCCAGATTCAAAGCAGCTATTTTCCGGCTCAATCCGAGTCGTCCCCAAGTCTGGCCGGCCGGGCCGTCTGTTCCGGCTAGGCTTTTAGAACACTGCTCCTTTCGCTAGTTGGTTCATCCGTTGCGTTGTTGCTTTTCGGTTTGTGTTTAGGTAAACAAGTAGACATAGCGAGGTGGTTGTCCGCTGAAGAATCAGGACAGGAGGATGTAACATGCAAACGAAAATGGCATGGGCTATTAGAAACTTTGGTACATGCGTTTTCTTCATGTTGATTTTAAAATGCACAGACATCATCGGTTGTTAACCACCATTTATGTAGGGTATTTTTCATAGCCAATCTTTTCTTCAGGTATAGACCAGAATTCGAAAGCATGCATGTCTCTCGACCCTAGGAACATTCTGACTCACAAGCGAGTTTCAATCAGACAACCTTTGACGGGCATCATATGAATCAAGTATTCAACTGTTTCAAAACCTTCACCTTCTTTGCTAGTGAGTACTTGAAGTGTTTTCCTCCAAATGTCTGCAAAGTTTTTTTGTTCTTGAAGGGAAAGAGTGATGGAATCTGTTGGGATTTTTTATCTTCTGTCTTTTCTCTTCTTCATTAGTCCTTTCACTGGTTGCTTCAACCGTTTTACACTTGACCCACCCAGTTGTGTTCTTGGTTTTGGGTTTTGATTGTGTTTAGGTGAACATATAGACAGAGCAAGTTGATTGCACAATGGAACCGACAGATATACTGGTAACAAGCAAGAAAATAGCATGGACTATTGGAAATTTCAGTTCACTGAAGACCAATGCCCCACATTATTCTGATCCTTTCACCGCTGGCCATTGTTCTTGGTACTTATCAACGTCTATTTTTAATATTTCCAATTAAAGCTCTTCTTTATCATACTACATTACCATTCCCCACCCGTTTCGTTTCCTCTAGTATTCATATGTGTATATATATATATATATCTGTTCAGTTCCATATGACGATTCCATATCTATATATTCGGTAGAAAATAGTTTTTTTTTTTTTTTTAAATCATGTAAATTCGTCGATGGCTAAACTAGTAGGAAAAAAATTGCATAAATGGGCAGAGAACGAGATACATGAATATTTAGCATATTAATATAATTTTCTTTTGTGGTGATTGTTGCAGGAAGGTTGCAATCTACCGAGGACTGGAAGACGAGAAGTATCTTGGTATATTTTTGTGTGTAGCAGATACTAGTACTCTGCCTCAAGGTTGGAGCATAGATGCATACCTCACCATCATGGTGATCAATCAAATTTCCAGCCAAAAATCTTATGCAAAAGGTATATCATTCCATGCGCACGTCTTCATTTTTTATTTCTTTGACTAAAATTGCTTTCCCTCTGCTGGTGTCATTTTAAGGTATTTCCCCCCCCCCCTTGCTTAACTTAATGGGCTAGTTCTTCCCTAAACAGCTGATTTCTCCTCAACTCATTGATCGAGTGCATAAACTATTAGATTACCAACGCCAAAAAAAATGTGAATTGAAATTCTAAATTGGTATGGGACAGACCCATCTTACAGCAGTCTTTCAATGATGTTCCTTTGTTTCTGGCGAATGGAATGCAGGTTTGAGGCATAAGTTCCGTGCACACGAACACGTTAGGGGTTTTCGATCTTTCATGGATTTGACAGAGCTTCAAGACCCATCCAGCGGCTATATTCTGAATGATTATTTGACAGTTGAAGTTGAATTTTTGGAACTTAAGTCCGAAAGTGTTCAGCCAAGTCCCCTTGCAAATCCGACGGATGATGAGGCCCTTAGTGTTGATTTTAAGGATCTGGGGCAAATTGAGAGGCCTTGGTGCCATTCTTAGAAGAAGTTTGTTCGTGGTATCCTTCATTAATGGATTGTAAGAAGAGAAGAAGTCGTCGCTTTACAGAGTGGGCATTTACTGCATTGGGGCGAGTTCTACATTTTCTAAAAAACCACAAGTGGAAAGATATGAATGAAGAAGCCTGCGAACAACTTCAAACTTTGTGGGATGAACTTGAGATGAGCAGATTGGATTTGAGTTGGCTGGAACCTCATGTTAAATCTGCTTTGAATATGAAACAATATCTGGAGAAGGCAACAAAGGTGAAACAGCTAAAACAAGACTTGCTGATCTTGGAAAGGGAAATTAACGCAATGAAAGAAAATCTTGCTGAAACAGAGCAAGCCTTTGAAATGACAAGGGCAAATTTAATCAAAGAACAATTAGGCTTCGGCTTTCAGGAGAAAGACTTGAATACTGAAATTGGTTATGGGAAACCCGAGCTCTATATATAATGTGTATTATAGCATGACTTTCTAATCCAACAAAAACGGGTCTTTATTCATGGGCCAACCCTTTTTTTTTTGCAGACATATATTCTGATCTGACTGACCCATGCAAGTTTCCATGGGACAAACTTTGACAGACATCCTATGAATCAATGAGGGAGGTACTTTCGTATAAAGGTTCATGCGTCTTTGAAAGATCAGGCTTTCTGTGCCTGAAGGCTGTGAGCTTCATCAATAAGGAAGTTACATTTGTGTAAATCCTCATTCACTGTGGTTAACTTTCAAACAAGCTAGCTGTTATGGTTTCAATTTAATTTTCCTATCGTAATTATTTGCTGCTTCTTATGTTCAAACTTTCCAGTTAAATTTTGTGTTGTGCATCATTCAACGACTTTCAGGTTTTTATAATTCATACAAATATCATAAGGTGATAGTACGATGAAGTGAATCAAGGGTGGAAGGACCTGGGGCCATCGAAAAATTTAAAACATTGAACGCCAATCTCCAACACCGTTCTGACGTTTTTCACTATCTGCGGTTGTGTTTGGTAAAATCATTTGTTAGGAGTTGAGAAAAAAAAATCATCAAATAAGGCACGTGAGTTTTTCTCTATCTTCTGGGCATGCAAGTCATTAACTGAAGAAATTATACTCTGCATTGGGAGTTCGAGATCCTCCAGAAAGACAACATTGTATTAGGGGGTGTTTGGGAAACCCAAAATCATGGTTTCAGAAGTACTTTTCCGCAAAACGAGACAATCTCCTCCACATATTTACTTCGTAATCCGTAAAAGCACTTCTAAAACCATGGTTTGGTTTTTATCCAAACACCCCCCTAGTCTCCAGTGCTCAACTGCTCATTTATGCTTTCTATGTTTAGTTTCCTTGTATCCTTCTTCATTATATTTTTTTGGTGCGGCTTTGTCCAAAATATTTTTATATTATCAAACATAAATCTACTCAAAAAAAAAAGTCATGTGAAAAAAAGTTATGATCATAATAATAAAATATTGTTGAGAAAATAAATTTTAATTAGTAAAAAGTTTCTTTTAAATTCTTTAAAAAATGAGATGTCGGAATTTTTTATAAGAAAGGGTATTTTTTTTTTATTTTGTTATCATTATGACAGACCTTTTCTTATAATAATGAATAATGAATATTGAATAGTCAACAATTATTGGAGAGGTTGTAATGAAAAACGCGGAGGCTCGAAGGATATTTGACTATGATCTGCCTTTGGACTCCCAGCGTGCGGATCCTTTTCAGGGGCATATTTCTTCATATCTCAAGAGTCAAGACGACTTTCTCTCTTGTCTGTTGGATGAGACTCCTCATGCAATATCTTGCCTCCATCAGTGCTATTCCGCTTTAACTCCAGTTTCAGCGACCTTCAAGCTCTGATCTTTTTGGCTTCATCAGGTTGATGCGGATTCTTTTCAGTTTATTTGCATCTTACTTTATTTCTCTCTCTGTTTTTTTTTTCAATTTAAATTTCCATCTTCCTCTTCTTTTAACCCTTCTCTTCTTTTTTTTGAAAATGGTAGCTTCCGCCTTGTCTTTCTCTGAGTTCAAGTTTCATTTTTTTCCCTTTACGCTTTCAGAGTCCCTCGATTGACGAACCACACCGTGCAGGACCTCAAGCCTTGACCTTTCCCGCTAGTGAGTATATGGAGTGTTTTTCTTCGAATTTCCTCACATTTTATTGTTACTGAGAAGGAAAAAAAAAGATGGATTTGTTGGGATTTTTTTATCTTCTGTCCCTTTTCTTCTACATCTTCTCTGTTTTCACATATCGAGGAGCTACTGTACATACTATCTGGAAGCAGCCCGGTCTTCCAAAATCGGTGCCGGATTCCAGAGTCAAAGCGGCTATTTTCCGGCTCAATCCGAGTCGTCCCCAACTCTGGCCGGCCGGGCTGTCTGTTCCGGCTAGGCTTTTAGAACACTGCTCCTTTCGCTAGTTGGTTCATCCGTTGCGTTGTTGCTTTTCGGTTTGTGTTTAGGTAAACAAGTAGACATAGCGAGGTGGTTGTCCGATGAAGAATCAGGACAGGAGGATGTAACATGCAAAAGAAAATGGCATGGGCTATTACAAACTTTGGTACATGTGTTTTCTTCATGTTGATTTTAAAATGCACAGACATCATCGGTTGTTAACCCCCATTTATGTAGGGTATTTTCCATAGCCAGTCTTTTCTTCAGGTGTAGACCGGAATACGAAAGCATGCATGTCTCTCGACTCTAGGAACATTCTGACTCAAACGATTTCAATCAGACACCCTTTGACCAGCATCATATGAATCAAGGATTCAACTGTTTCAAAAGGCTTCCCATCCATAGATTTTGTCCTCCTCGCTAAGGCTATGCTGTTTGATGCAATATTTCTTGTTGCCAAAGTGGTATCATCTAGGATAACATTGGAGAAGCTTACAAAATTTCAAAGTAAAATTAAAAGAAAGTGTATACATATATGACGGGTATAGCCGAATATTGGGATATGCAAGGCAGTAAAGAACTTTGCGAATGGTGAAAGAATTACCTAATGCCTACTCTGCATTTGGAATTTCTGATCCTAGAGAATAGTAACAGTCAGTTTTATTTCCTCTATTCAGTACATTCCTTCATGCTTTTGTTTTTTCTATTTCCAATTCCCCTTGATGCGTCTTTGTATTTTACTTTTCTTGCTACAATTAATTAATGTCTAGAAAGACAGGCTTTCTATGAGCTTCATCAATAAGGTAGTCATATGTTCGTATAATCCAACATTCACTTTGTGGTCTACCTTTCAAATAATTTGCTATGGTTTCACTTCAATTTTACTTCACTTTCGGCTAGTTCTCGTACTCGAAGTTTCAAGTTTTTGTCTTGTGGGGTTTACGGCTTTCAGGTTTTTATAAAACATGGAGATATCGCAAGGTGATAGCACGATGAAGAAGCAGGAACTGAAGGATATAACCTATAAGAAAGTAGCATGGACGATCAAAAACTTTAGCACATTGAAGACCAATCAAGCGCGCCATTCTGAGGTTTTCAATATCGGTGGATGTGCTTGGTATTAGTGAACATCTATCATATACACATGTCCTTCATCCCTCATTTTCATGAAAATCTCTTATCTTTTATTTTATGAATAAAATTCCTTGTTTCTCATATATGTATGTTTTAATGTAATCGCTCTGTTTTTTTTTTTCTGGACGGGAGAATGGTTGCAGGAAAATTGCATTCTATAAAGGAACAAAGAAAAACGATGGGAAGAATTTGGCTATATATTTGAAAGCAGCTGATGTTTCGAGTTTGCATCAAGGTTGGAGTATACATGCAATCTACAGGTTCACGGTGGTCAATCAAGCTTCCACTAAAAAATCTGTTAAAAGAGGTATCATTTCATGCTACTTCATTGTGTTTTCTTCTAAAAGCTGCTTTTGTTTTGGCGGTGGATGCTGATTTTCTCCTGCAACCTAAAGAGAAAGTAAATAAAATATTAAACTGTACTGTGAAGGCCTAACAACCTGATTGAAAGTATATTATAATTTTGTATTGGAATGGGATGGGAATCTTATGGTAGTCTTCCACTGATGTTCCTCTGTTTTTGAGGGAATTGAATGCAGGCTCAAACAGCAAGTTCACTGCGAATGAATGTGACTGGGGTTATCCATCTTTTATGGAATTGGCTAAGCTTCAGAACCCTTCTAACGGCTATATTTTGAATGATACATGTATTGTTGAACTTGAATTTTCTGAAGTAATCTCTGAAGGCACTGAAATTAAGAAAGCATTGGTCCCAAAGAATGATGATGCCACTGAGTTCAAGGATTTGGGACAAATAGAGAAAGCGATGGTTCCACTGCTAGAGGAGGCTTGTTTGTGTCATCCCTCATTGATGGACTGTAAGAATAAGAGGAGTCGCAAGTTTACAGAGTGGGTATTCACCAGCTTGGGTCGAGTTCTGCAATTTCTAGAGAACAAGAAATGGAAAGATATGAACGAGGAAGCCTGTGAGCAGCTTCAACAATTATGGGATGAACTTGAGATTAGTAGATTAGATTTGAGTTGGTTGGAACCTCAAGTTAAATCTGCTTTAAGTATGAAGGGATATCTTGAGAAGGCAACAAAGGTGAAAAGGTTAAAACAAGAATTGGTGGTTCTGGAAACAGAAATGAACAAGATGAAAGAAAATCTTCTGGTTCTGGAGACAGAGATGATCAAGGTGAAAGAAAATATTGCTAACACGGAGCAAAGTGTTGAGATGACAAGAAAAGATTTAATCAAAGCAGAAGAAGGCTTTGAAGAGAAAGATTTGGATTTAGATACTGAAATTGTATGTAGTAAACTCTAGTCCTGCACATGGGTGTGACGGAACAAGTGATGAATTATGCAATGTTATTGTGTTAATGTATATTACTTTATCAATGTTTGTGATTAGATTACGTTCCTTTGTATATGAGGCATATAATGAATGAATCACATACATATCAACACAATACTACCATTATGCCACGTTTATAGGGAAAATAATTGTTATCAAATAATACTTCCGGTCTTAATTATATTATAAGACTTTATTTGTAATTTACAAATAAGGTAGACCTTATTTGAGTAAAAAAGAACATTACATACAAATATAATATTATATGTTTAAAACATATTTATACTGTTATGATTGCAATGATGAATCAGGCTGGAGGATATGAACAATGAGGCGTCATAATTTTTGAAAACCAATGGTTGAGGAAGAGGAAGAACTAATGTATAAATAAAACTCCGAATTGGACGTCCCATTAAAAATGTTAATAGTTTAATATATTCATAATTCAATCGGTCAGAGTAACACTTGAATGGGTGATATAATAATTATATATATATATATGAATTTAAAGTCGCAAATAAGATGAAATATCTGGCCAACATATCTCATCTCGGTATTGACGTGCACAACCTGAAAATAAAGATATGTAGCTGAATGCTAACAAAAGGCGGTTGGGGAGCTCTTGTTGGGCAAAGCAGGCAGCTAAAAAAAATATCAAGTTTCACTGTGACCAATGATCATCCTATAAGACCTATTAAAAAAATGAAAATGTGCAAATTGAAGCAACCCGTTTCTTGGCTTCTTTCTTCTTTTCTGATTTCTATGCTCTTTTACTTTTAACACCTTTCTTTTTTCTTCGAATAATATCTTTTGGTAGCAATCATGCACGACTCCCATTTAAAAAAAAAAAAAAGGTTGATGAGTTGCGAAACGTTGGTTCACGATATTCAACAAGGTGCTTTGGACCAATGGCGATCCCGCAAAAATGAAAATCGCAATATTGAGTGTTTATCAGAAGACAACACAATCTATTAAGAATCATAATTTGACTTGTATCCTTTAAAGGAGGGTTCAAAAATCAACAGGCATAAGTATGAAGTACTGCCTCTGAACAGAAAAGAGATGAATTAGGTTCCATGTCACTTTCGAAGTTAGGAATAACAAATTCACTTAAATCAAAATATTGTTTAAAATTAGTCAAAAATAATAAGTACGTAACACATAACATCTTTTTTTAAAATGTATATATGCACACATATACACACACAGTTATTTGATAAAATCAAGTAATAACATCACACGTTTCATTTAATTGAAAAAGGACTGAGGAATTACACTAAGGCACTGTTCCTCTTATTTCATGAATGCACTAGTCATGTGATTTAGTTTTGTACCTTTTTTTTTTCCAAGACATACATATCCTTCTATTTGATACATTGTCGGCTGTTAAGAGTGTGTATGGATTAGCAATAACAAAACTAATTTTTATTTTGTCTTATTTTTACAAAAAGTCAGGTAGCTTAAAAGACAGTTAGTGTAATGTAATTTATATTTGGGTTAGTTTTTTTAATAAAAAGTTAGTTTGCTGAATTGAAACATATTGGGATGAGTAATAAAAAAAATAATTCTACATGTAAAATGACTGAAAAAACTGTGGATTTTATGACATATATCTCACATCTCATTTATATAGAATTTGATAAATTTAAGAAACATAATAAATAAAAATAAAAATTATAAAAATTAAAAGATTTAATACATCATTAAAAAAAGAACAATATTCACATCAGATTTCTTATATCTACCATGTGCTTTATTTTTAAAATATTTCCATGTAATAGTATTTAATTATAAACTCATAAAAAAATAGAACACATGACTATGTGTGATTGGAGAACTTAACATAACAAATATAAGTAATTTGACCCAGATATTTTCCTTAAAAAATTGTAAGTATTAAAAAAATTATTACTAGTAAGGAAAAAAAAATCAAATTTTTGGGTCAATGTATGAACCACGTAAATACCATTATCTTTCTTTTCATCCTCATTTGTTCCTTTCTCCACCGTACAGACTCAAAAAGCTCAAATTTTTAGCTTTGGCGGTACCTTTTTTCCCCCCTCCCAAAAGCTCATTAGAGAAAAAGTCAGCCTAAACAAGTATATTCTTCTGGTTTTGTTTACAAGGTAAAAAAGTATTTTTTATCTTATTTATAAGATATTGAGAAAAAAATTTTCATGATGTACAATTTTATCCCTTGTTTATTATTGTGTTGATTTTATTTACATAATATATAATATATATTAAATGGGGATAAAATTAAAAAGTTATTAAATTTTAAATGAGAGTTCATAAAGTTTAAAGTTTTTATTAATTTATGTCAAGCATGCTAAAAACATCTTATAAATAAAACCAGAAGAGTAAATGTTAAAACCACTCAGCAAGTTACTTTTCATACTGCCCAAGACACGTTTGTTGGTTTTAATGCCAATACAAACACAAGCTAAATATAAATACATTTTCCAATAAAAATTTATCATCAAATTATAAGGAACAAACCCCTTTTTTTTTTTTTTGACCAGCAGGAACAAACCCCTTCTAATTAAACATTTTCAAACATTTCTCATCAAATGATTTTAAGTATCTAAATCAAATCTTATCATAATATAATATAATTTAAATCTAAACTATGGATGATAGATGATGTAGCTAATATTGATATTTAATTTTATCAAATTAAATAACTCTGAGAAAACCTAATTAATCTAATGAATACTGCTAATATCTTTATTTACATAATTATAATGATTTTGAATATCGAGAGTTACCGAATCACCGTTTATCTAGAATAATAATATGAAATTAACATTATTTTGCGGATGATTTTTATGAGTCTTTCTCGGTTCTCCCAAGAAAAACTTGGGAGACGAGCACATTCCTCCGGAGCAATAATCGAGTGCGCTAACGCTCACAAAGAGTACACATGCAGCCCGGCTGCCAACCCTCCACGTGTACATAAACTTACGTTCTCCGCTCACCAGTGAAACACCGAAACGAATCGGTAATTTCGTGGATCCTGCCGTGTGATATAACATCCCCCTCCACCTCGGGGGAGGGGGTTGGGGGTTTTGTCTTCCTTCGAAAGGAAACCGATTACCCTTGCAATTGCAATATCTGTTAGGCTGCGAATTGAACTTTTCTCTCTCTTCCGCTAATTGGCAATTTCTCCGAGTCTCACACTTGACTCGATCACTATAATTCCCTCGCCTCCACCCTTCTGTCCCACGCGCTTCGATATTGTTTTCTTTCTTGGGAGAGTGAACGTCTCTTTCTTTCTCCGTACTCGCTCTTCGGGCTCTCGTGTGTGTGGGTTTTTATCGATTGCTCATGGATCTTGAGATGGGTGACGGCGTCCCTGAAAATCCTGTAAAATCAGGGACGGCGAAGAGACGCAAACAAGAAGAGGTACTCTTTTCGAAATTATTTCATGCCAAGCTTGGGTTTTAAGCGTTTTTGTCTGTATTTGGGTCAAATTATATTTTCCCTCACTGGGTGTACTCAAGTATGCCCTTCAGCCGACACATTATTGGTCAATTTCGATCATTTTCCGGTTTTGGCTTTGGTTCGCTTGCATTCAATTTAAGCGTTCATTGGTGATCGTTTATACAGCGTAGAGTGTGCGCATGCGCTTTATTTTTTAATTTAAAAATTGGGTTGGAGTTTGTTGTTCACTTACTGTTGATGTTCCCCCCTTTTTATATGTAGTTTCTTTTCTTCTTCACTAATAGATTGATTTGGGTTAATTGGGAGCCAATCTAGATTTCTCCTTGCTGCCATGTATAATGTTACTGCTGTCAAGTTTCTGTGAGCAAGAACAACGTTAACGGCTTTTCCGAACGTTGTCAGGGGATGCGTCCTTCCCTGCCTGTGTGGGTTTTGTTGGTTTGGTCTTTTAATGCTTTGTCTTAGATTTTTGAAAAAGAGAATAAACTGCTGGAATCAAGTGGTGCCCTACACTTTCCTCTCCTGTCCCAGGCTTCCCTTTCTCTTTGATAAAAAGGATTAGCAAATAGCTGATTTGAAAAGATGTTGGTTCGTGCGATCAATTTTGTGCAAGCTATTGCCTTTTTCTGGTGAAGATTCAACGAGACTGGGCAGTCAATTGAAGTATTAAGTCAGCTTAGTTCTAGATTTGATTATGTGGTGAATCTTTAGTTTCCTTGTATATTAGTAGGACGAATGTTAATTTGCGCTTCAAGGTAATAAAAGTGCTTTACAAAAGTGTCAAGTGGCTAAATCATCATGATATGGCAATACGATGGTTTAGGAATAGTAAAGTGTTTGAGCAATGCAAGCTTATTTGGAACGTTACAAGTGACCAATGCATTATTGCTGCGCTGGGTCTCATGCACCAGGCCGTTGCTCAGCTGTACATGTAAACTTCACAACTCTGCTAGTCGGTGTGGATTAGGAATTTCTTGCAAGAGAAATTATTAATACTTTTTTCCGTGCATGGTTATCTGTTTACAGGGGAGGGCTTATGATTTTCATTTAATCGAGGGGAACAAATGAACAATAATAGAAATCAGTTTCAGGAGTGGAAATATCAAGCTATACGATGTTATTTTACGTGATGAATTTTGATGAATCTATCTATTTTCTTAACATGATTTTCTGACTTTATAAAGGTTTTTAATTTTGATCTTTTCTTTTCATAGGATGCTTCTACAAGTGATCACGGAAATTCCGTGACTGTGGGAGAATCATCAGGAAGTGGTGATGTCTCCAAGAGTTCCATGTCTTCAAATAATGCTAATAGTCCCAATTCTGATTTTTCATATCAAGATGAAAATGATGAAATGAATGATGATGATGATGATGTGGATGGTGTGGATGAGGATGACTATGACTTTTATGACAACGATGATTTTATATATGAAGATGACTACACGAGTATGCAGGATCAGTTTGACCACGTGGATTTACCTTCTGGGGTAGAGGCACCACTGCCATGGTTGAAGGATTTTGATATAAATGTATCCAAGCAGGACGTTACTTTGGGCCATGCAGAGTCCAGTTCCAAGGGTAAAGGAAAAGAAACTGAAGATGCCGTCATCCAAGAGTCCCAGCAATTTAAGCAATTTGACGTTATTGAGTCTTTTCAGGATCACTTCTATGATAAACAGGGCTCTTCAGAGCAGCAGGTAGCATATATTAGAAACTTGTTGAAAATTCAACCCCTGTTGACTAATGGCTTCACTCATTTGATTAAATTGAATCTTGCTCTGCTGACAGCGATCAAAGAATTGGGCAAAAAAAATCCAGGAGGAGTGGAAAATTTTGGAGGAAAACTTGCCAGGTGAGTTTTCACTTCTTTTTCTTTTTTTTTCTTTTTTCCTTCTTATTTTTTGAAGGATGCCCATGCCTTGTTATTATAACTATGGATCCTAATAATTTTTCAGGTTTTTGTTTCCTTTCATTGTTCCTGTTTTGCTTGTTGAGGATACAATAAACTCGTATAATCATCACGCAATGTCATTTGTATCTTTCTTACCGTTGCTATTAGTTTGCTTTGTGATGAAATTCAACCTTGTACAGAAATTGGGTTTGATCCTTTGACGTTTAATCATCATTGATTTTGTCTCTATCTCACAAACTTGTATTTACAGAAACAATTTTTGTGCGAGTTTGTGAATCAAGGATGGAGCTTCTAAGGGCTGTCATTATTGGACCTTCTGGCACTCCATACCATGATGGGCTTTTCTTTTTTGATTGCCTCTTCCCTTCATCTTATCCTGCAGGTCCACCAGTAAGTATTACGTATATTCCCCTTGTATTGAAATGTCTTGTGCTGTGGATGACAGAAGTTGGACTTGAACTCTTGCAGAAGGTGCACTACCACTCAGGTGGCCTAAGGATAAATCCAAATTTATATCAATGTGGAAAAGTCTGCCTTAGTCTTTTGGGCACTTGGCATGGCAAGGGTACTGAAAACTGGGTTCCAGAGAAATCAACTATGCTTCAAGTTCTGGTTTCTATACAAGCTCTGATTTTAAATGAGAAGCCCTTCTTTAATGAGCCCGGCTACTCATCAACCTTTGTTGGTTCAGTGGGGGAGAGAAAATCCAAGGAGTACAATGAGAATACATTCATCTTGTCTTTGAAGACAATGATGTATATGCTGCGAAAACCGCCAAAGGTTTGTTGGCTACAATGATTCGTTAGCTATCCTCTCTATATTCTTCAAACTATAAGGATAGCGTATATAGCATGTGATTATGCTGATGTGGCAGGAACTTGAATTAGTCTATGAGTCATAATCTCAATTTTGTTCTCTCCTGTGTTCTGCAGCACTTCGAGGAGTTGGTTGTTGGGCACTTTCGAAACCGAGCTGTTAACATACTGACGGCATGTAAGTCATATGTGGAGGGCAACGCAGTTGGCTCGGTTGTACATAATTTTGATCCGAGTATAAAAGGTTCGACAGACGATAACAAAAGTGAATTCCAGTCAGCAGTGAGTAGGATGATGAACACACTTATTGCATTTTTCACTAAAAATGGCTCTACAGACTGTGAAGAGTTCCGAATTCATGAGATTTATGATTCCACAGCTCAGGTTCCGACAAATCTAGATTCTCTAACCAAGAAATGATTCTTGTTAGTGTTAGTAACTCTAATTAAAGGAATTGACATGTTAGCATAGTTTCTGAAAATATCCTTCGGTTTTTGAAGGATGGTTTCTGGATATTTTCTTTTTGTAAAGATCTGACAGTTTACTATCTTGCCAAACAAGAGTAAATTTACATCAATGATTCTAGTTGCATTTAGATTTGCCAATTTTATGGGGTGTTTAGGTTATACTACCTTGAGGAATTACGTCAAGATCTTTTTAGATCCCCTTATTCGAAGTATCTATCATAATTGATGTTCCAAAATAGTTGCCCACAAGAATACTGTTCTCTTTAATTAGATAGGCTTCAATGGAATACTTGTGAATAAACTGGCTTGTGTTGCACGGGGCGTATACAATTCGCGAACAATTCCAAGCAGTTCAATTGTATTCGACAATAGAACGTCACAACAAATAAGACTTGCTATGGATCTCGTAATTTATAAAGTTACATGCCCTTTCATAAGTTCCATATGTTTTAAACTCACATTTCGACGTATTGAGAGGTCCTTGATGTTGCAGCTGTTACTTTGTCTTGTTAAAAAGGAGCTTTGGATAGTGATAGGTGATTTGAAAAGGGAAGAACTTTAGGTTAAGTTTTTTATTTTTATCATGTCACGTTCCTTAATGAGACATACTCTTTTGATCTTTAATATAAGATTCATTTAACTAATTTGATTAGATTAAGAAAATTAGGTAAGTTAGTTAATTATAAGAAATGTATGTTTTTCTTAAAATATCATAATCATCTTTCTTAATACCTCTTCTTCATCTTCTACTTGATTATGGTTAAGTGAGTATCTATAAGAGTAATTTAAAGAAAATTAATAAATATGATAAATGGGTCTTATATTAAGGATAGGAGGAGTAGTTATGTAATTATTTTTATTTCATGTAAATTTATAATTAAATACTATTAAATACCAATATCTTAAGAATAAGACACCTAGTCATGTATGATTAATGACTTAACATGACGGATAAGTAATTAGATGTAAGTATTGTCCATTTAAAAATATGTGCAAATATAGTTGAGCTAAACTCTTATACTGTTATATAAATAAATGTAATGCTAATTGAATTAATGCACAAGTACTGTGTTCTATTATGGACATATGCGACCACATTTAGTCTTGCATTTCTTTTCAAAAATGTATTAGGCTTATTAACTGCGTGTATTTAATTGACATTGAGCCATGCAAATCCGCTAAAAATCTATTAGGCTTATTTGCATTATTAACAGGGTCAAGTATATGTTCATTGGAAGGTCGGACAATTGGATAAGGTTTATGATTCATTTTCTTATATATGAAAGCAAGGAGGAGAATAATAATTTAATTTTATACTGTAATTTTTTTACTGACAATATATAATTAATTTGAAATTTTAATCTGCATTCAATTAGCAGTTTTTTTTTTTTTGGGTGTCCATCCTCCCACCTCAAATCCAAATTCATAAGGGTAAAAGTAGAATGGGGAAAACTGAAAATGTATTTGGAAGGTACTTAATGGGAGTTGTTGCTCATGCTAACCACTAAATTATTATTCTTCATGTGACATTTATATTCCAAATTAGCTTTTTGCAGGAAACATAACTTCTGCAAAGTGAGGAGATATCCATCTTTCATATTATGTTACACATGGACCCAAGGTTTCCTCCTAAATGTTGCATCTCCAAACTGTTCTCAGCACGACTTTATCCTTCGTGTTTTATCTGCAGAGTCAAACATGTATCTCTAAGACGGTAACGCAAGAAGATATAAAACAAAATTGGCAACAAAGTCATATATCACCAAATTACTAACCCAAAAATATTTTGCATGAGTCCTTCAAAATATTTTGGAAAGGAAAGCTTCTAACCTAATATTTGTTTATGCGGCCTCTGCATCATCAATAGGGAAATTATCAAAATGCATCTTCTCTAAGAGAAGATGATGGACAACAACGACTGAAAAAGGAGGGTTCAGAAATGCCTACAAATATAAGAAACATCTTTTGAAATCATGGCAGCTCAAAGCTATGGACGATGTAGCATAGCTTTTCTGGGCAATTTGTATATATCAATTACGAGTCCTTGACCACCTACTCGATACACAAGGAAAAGGTTGTAGATGATATATGCACGACACAAGCTTAGATAGGTATTAGAAAGGGGGGAATCGGAATCATGTCCATGCTGCAAGCAAGATTTTGAATGGTAATTTAGGCTAAAATATATTTTTAGTCCTTTAACTTTATACAAGATTTTATTTTAGTTTCTTGATTTTAAAAAGTAAACTTTTAGCCCTTTAACTCTAAAACTGTTAACAAAAAATAATGATATTGAGCTCTTAAATACTTATAAAACATTAGTAAATACTAACATATTAAGTTTAATATTCAAAACAACCATAATTGTTATAAAAAATATCATTTAAGACTAATAATTTTGAAATTAAAGGGCTAAAAGTATACTTTTTAAAGTTAAGAGATCAAAATAAAACTTTACATAAAGTTAAAAGACAAAATGTACACTTTAGCCTTCTTCTTTTTTACAATCTAAATGTGCCAACCAAATATTTAAAAAAGGTCTTTGCATCAGGATTATGGGGAATCCTTATACAATGCATCCAACCAAACAGACATTTAGTTTTTTTTTTTTTATACACAAATTTTAGGAAAGGGGTTGGGTTCACCCACGATCCAAAAGCTGGCACCTAACGCTTGATCCACTAGGGTCTGTCCCTATGGGCACAGGAGAATGACAAGTAAGCCATTTTTTTCTGACCCAATAGGTAGGAATCACTCAATTTCACTGTGCTGTGGTGATACCTCTTCCAGGGCCGCAACTGGAGCCACAACAAAGTGGCACTCCTCAAGATCAAACCCTTTCCTTTTGGTAAGAGAGTTTCAACCCCTTCGCCAGTTGAACCCACGGACTAGGGGTACCAAACAGACATTTAGTACTTATATTCTTTTTTTTTTGGGACTCTAGCAATTCTCCTTTTAATAAAGTCTGTTTTTAATGCTCTTAAAAAAATTGTAGTGAATTATATTTTATGACATATTAATTAGTAGGCATGCTATTTTTTCTCCAACTTTTAGATAATGCTTAAATTTATTATAGAATAGTAAATAGTTAATGATTTAAAAACTAAATGGAAACACTTTTTTGTCAAAAGAAATCCTTAACTTTCAAGAAATTGGTTTTACAAGACATCAGGTGAAATTCTATTTTTCTGGTTGAATATAACCTCATGTATTTTCTTAAAAAGAAATACTCCTCCAACCTTAAATATAATACTCATATTATAGTGTAATTTACATTATAAAATAAGACTTATATTTAGAACTAAAAGAATATATTGATTTTAAAATGATCAGTTAGCTGTAGCCTTTATACGTCTTAATTTGTGTCACGTGAAGAATTTATTTTTTTTCCCACTCTTAGTGCGAGTTTGAAATAGCGACAGCAAGAATTCTGGCCACAAAAAAAAAATGGCAACAACAAGAACATAACGCCTCAAATCAGACCACCTCTGTTTTTTATTTTTAATGTAAAATCTATTTAATTGATTTAGTTAAACTAAGAAAATAAAATAAATTAATTACTTACAATAAATATGACATAGTTTCCTTAAAATAATTAAGATTATATATTAATTTATAAATTAACTAGTTTAGAAAAAATAGATAAATATAAAAAAAAAATGAATTAAAATATTATATTTAAGACTAAATTTAACATTCAATTAGCTGAAAGCATTAAATAAAAATATTTTCTTTATATTCTCTTAATCTCTCTACATTCGAGCAGGTTTGGCTAGCCGAGCCTGAGATCTGGGCAACAACCCTGAATATTATAGTTGGAAAAACCAGGGAAGGAAAATAAATAAATCTAATTTTAAGGAAATGCTTACACTTGACATGTTATGAGTTAATCTACAAATAAATTGTAAAGCACATTTACTTAAATCTTTTTCTACAACCAAATGTTTTAGTCGCTAGTAAAAGAAAACGAACAACTAAATTATTAACAAATCTTTCCCAGCCAAACTCTTCATGGCAGTTTTTTGGCCGAAAACAAAACTCTTCACGGCAATTCTAGAGAGTGTTTGGATAAAACCAAATCATGGTTTCAGAAGTGCTTTTACGGTTTACGAAATAAATATATGAAGGAATTTGTCTCGTTTTACATAAAAGTGCTTCTGAAACCATGGTTTAGAGATTGTCGAACACCCCAAAAGCTGACTTCCACATGTCAAATGAGTCTGAGTCCTTATCGCAGATTCACATGGCCGCTACTTATTGGCTTAGCTTACCTAGATAAGTAAAACTATGAATACCAAGAATATCTAGATATAGGTGCAGCTGCAATATACTTAAACATCTCGAATCTCGCATCAGCATCAAAATCCACATCGGCACCTTCCTAAAGAGAATGATTCTCTCATTCTCACCATACAGACCTGAATGAAAATATCACAGTTAAGAGAAGAAAAGGGTTTAGCAGTGAGCACCAGCAGTGTCATTAGCTCGAGATTCATGACGAAGAATATTTTATTACCTTCATGAATCCCGTGAAACAATCTGACAGCTGAAAGCTGGAGTTCTATATATAGATTAACCCCCAAGTGAAGCAGCAATTATTTTTGCACCCTCCGCACCATTAATGTAAATTCAAAACTAAAAACAGTATTATATTCTCCTGTAGCCGTGATAGGTGCACAACTAGCTATCTAAAATTCCTGTCAGAAAAACTAGGATTTTACCTGGTAGTTGTAAGTATGATTATCTCGCGTTTAGTTTATAATCTTATTAGGATTTTGAACTGATCCATCAGTGCCTTCTCATGTGGAAGTTTTATATATATCCAATCTTAGGCTCAGCAAAAATCCACTTACAGAGAACTCTTTTTTTAAAGCCTTTTGCTCTCTCTCTCTCTCTCTCTCTCTCACTCTCTCACACCCACACGCAAATCCAGTTGACATCTCCCTACACTAAAGTAGGCCTGAACTCTAAGAAAATATCCCTAGTAAGTCAATCAGTTATAGTCATGGTTGTTCCAATAATGGCAGGGATTATAAAAAGAAAAGTGAAGAGCATAAAGGCATTAAAATAACAAAGCAAGTATGCAGCCGCAATACATGAAACAATACAACAGTGAACAAAAATGTTCTAAAACCACATGAAAGGATGTATATTTTTATAAATTTGCGATACTGTAATGCAACATAAACTTGCCTTCTCAATAGTATAACCTGTTATCCCTCTTCTAATTTTCCCTATATGCATACATAATTGGGAATGGAAGCTCGATGCCCAGTTATAATATTCCTTCATAATCGAATGTTCTCATACTCCATTTTGGCTTGAATTTCTGAAGTCTCTAGTCTATAACAATTAGAGACAGAAAAATATTTCATGCAAATACTCATCTGTTCAAAGTTTTGCCTGAAGGTCCGGTTTTTAAAGTTGATATAGATGTTAAACATAGAATTATAACATTTGCTGATTTCACTAATAGTTCAGTCAAGGGACTCATACAGAGGAAGGGTGATTGCAGAACATTCTTCCTATATGTAGGAATGTTACGACGCACAGATAGGTTGAGAACTGAGAAATATCATGCGCCATGCACTCGTTTGAATTCATTAAAGTAAATACTGTAAATCATAAAAATATTGCAATTAAAATTAGCATGGAATAATAATATTTAGCTCTCCAAGCCAGAAATTACATGCATGTTAAGAAATGAAAGAGATGATTACATGTGCACACACACAACTTAGCGTCCGAAAGAATTTATAAGCAGAGCATGATACCTCTTGAGGAATTCATTAACATGTCGTGACCAGTTGTAGAGTACAAACCACAGAAGTACAATCACCAAGATATCTGGAACAAAAAATTCAGGAAGTCACAAGTACAAAGCACGGCAAGCATGATTGCTTGTGAACTCAGGAAAATCATCAACTTCTTTGAAAAAGAAAATATCTCTTAACTTGGACTGGCCGTCGAAATAGTTAATATGCAGAACAGACAGATTAAAAAACCCTGAATCTTAGTTTCACAATTTCAAGATTCCATATAATCATCTGGGAACAATCAATACTTGGTATTTTACAAAATTTAAGTTCCAATTATATACAAGCATTAAGCAATGAGCAAAATGGGTTCCTAAATTATGGAATCGTTACATGCGAGACTGCTCCACCAGTGCAAAAGGATCTATTTCTGGTACTGTGAAGTTGACAAACAAAAACTATTTTTAGCAGTAAAGAAACAATAGAGGATACTGAAAAGACAACGCTCCCACCAGTCTAGCATATAAAGCCCAAA